TGTGTGCATGCGTGCGTGTGTGTGTGTGCATGCGTGCGTGCGTGTGTCGTTGCGAGGGACAGCAGTTGGGTCAGCTTTGCAAAAGAGTCAGCGCAAATGCAGCGGCAACAACAACTTAAACAACAACAACAACAACAACAGCGCACCATCGGCGACGGCGTTTCCGAGCTCCTGTCCCGGCATGAAGTTGACGAGGATGGCATCCACATCGTTGCGCCAGGGGGTGAGGATGGCGCCAGGAACAGTGGCAACAACAACCGTCTTGGCCGCACGCGCCGCAACAATGTCAATCAGCTCGTCCTGCAGCCGTGATGATGATGATGGTGATGGTGATGGTGAACATGGGGCGGAGGCAGGGCCGAAAGGAAAGTGGAGAATGCGGGTAAATGTAGCAGTCACATATTGCGCGTGTGTGCGTGCGTGCGTGTGTGTGTGAGTGTGTGTGTGTGTGAGTGCATGTGTGCGTTGTGTGCGTTGTGTGTGCAGTTTCCTCACCTGGCCGTTGCCGAGGGAGAGGTTGGGCCGGTCGGAGCCTTCTGACGACGTCGTGGACACAAACACAAGCGCAACGTCCACCTATGATGTGTGTGTGTGTATTGTGTGCTGGCGCGTGAGCTCAATAAGACTCAAGCGGCTGAGCATGCTTCGCGTCCACGTTTTGTTCATTCGACGTGCAATGCACGTTCACTTCACCTTGGACGCAATGTCGACAACTTCCGTCTGGTTGGTGCCGTCTGCAAAGTACACGCACTGATTGGCAACAAGTGACAGGGTGAGCACGAGGTGTGACAGCATGCATTGCCGGGCACACGGGGAGGGGTGTTTGCAGCAAAGAACGACGGGAATGCGAAGGCGATGGTCCAAGTGAAGCAGCACATGCATGCGCAGACAACAGGGCAAACAGACGAACAGACAAACAAACAAACAGGCAAACAGACAGAGATGGACACAAAGGGACGGATACAAAGCCAGCCAGATGAGCACACTCGAGCCCCATGCAATGAGCAAGCAAGGAGTCATCGAGGGAGCGCCGTACCTGGTTGTTCTCGCAGACGTACTGGTTCGGGTTCGGGTTGCGAAGGACACCAGAGTCGCGGCCGTTGGACGATGTCTTGCCGGCTGCCGTCGCCTTAAACCAGCACGTCTTGTCGGCATCAACATATGTGAAGATGTTGCAGTCCGAGCGCTGTTGGCACAGCGAGCAGCACTCGTTGACGTCGTTGGCAGAGGCAGAAGGGTTGCCCGGCTGGAAGAAGTCGATGTTCTTCTGCACATGCGTACCAGAAGGAGACGTGCCAGAGAGCAAGCATACCGGGGGGGTGTGCAGGTGGGCAGCGTGTCGTGTGTAGGTGAATATGTGTGTGTGTGTGTGTGTGTGTGTGTGTGTGTGTGTGCGTGTGTGGGTGTGGGTACAAACCATGTATCGAAGAGCAAGGCAGTTGAATATGGCAACAACCGGCCGACACGAATACACACACACACACACACACACAGACACACGCACAGACACAGACGCACACAGACACAGACACAGACACACACCACGAACCAAGATGTCGACTTGATCGCAGGGGAGCTTGCTTGGCTGTGGGGGCGGGGGCAGGCCCATCTTGGCGAGGATGCCTTCCATTGGCGTCACCACATATGGCGGAACAACAGACCCAGACCCGCTGGTGGCATGGTTGTGACAGCGTTGAGTTGTGTGTACGTGTGCGTTTTGTTGGGGGGAAGGGTGCGTTTGTGAATGAGAGGAGATGGGTGTACGCACAATCATGCGGGTTGTAGGGGACAATTCAAATGTTGATACACACACACACATACAAATACAGACGCACACATACATGACAGCACGAGTAGCAGGAGCAAGAGAAGTGCGGGAATCTTCTGAACCGCCACGCTTGCACGACACCACAACCTACCCTCCGTGGACAGTGACGCTGGACGCGCCCTGGGCACCGAAGATGCCGACGTTCTTGATGGTCTTGTTCAGGGGCAGCGCGTTGCCATCGTTCTTCAGCAGCACATGCGACTGCGACAAGGGTACATGGGAGGGAGAGGAACCAATGTCAACGACGAAATAAGCACACCTGTTCCTATCCAACCCACTCACAGCACGTAAATACACAACCCCTCTCACTCTCACTCTCACACCCACACACACACACACACACACAGACACACACAGACACACACAGACACACACACACACACGTGCACACACACACACACGCATACATACACGCACGCATACATACACGCACGCGCGCACACCCGTCCACCCCCCCTTACGCGCGCACACACACACACACACACACACACATAACATCCATTGGCAACGCCGTGCATGCAAAAACCTTGGCGGAGAGCTGGCGAGCAAGTTTGTTGTGCGCATCCGAGGTGACATTGTTTGAAATGGAGTTTGTGTTGTTGCTGTCAAACACCCCGACTGCAAACAGCGGCGTGAGGACGTTGAGAACAGAGTTGTCGAGCGTGTCCTGCGACACAGCGCCCGTTTGCACTGCCGTCTTGAGCTTCGTGCTCATGTATGTTCCACCAGGCATCTCCTGATCAAGGCCTTCGTTGATGGATGTGCTGTGTGTTGCGCCCCAATCGCTCATCACAAAGAACCGCTTCCCGCTGCCGAGACGGTCCTGCACAAATGCAAGGAACATGGGTGTTTTGTGTGTGTGGATTGCGTAGAAGTGTACATTGGTGAGGCGAGTGGGCGGGGTAGATAGGTCAATGGGTGCGGATGGGACGTTATGAAGGCGTGCGAGGGAAGATTTGAGCGTTAGTGTTTAGCATGTGTGTGGTCAGGTTCTGCATCTCGTGTCACCCCTCACACCAATGGGTGTGGTGCGTGAAAGTGAAGACCTTCAAGTCGACGTTGAGGGTCTGGTTGTTCTCGCAGGAGTAGACGTTGTTGATTTTGTTGTAGGAGCACATGAAGCTGCCCACATCTGCATCCAGCGCCCCCTGTGTTGGAACCGATAGTTTAAGTGTCACAGGGCGTGAGTGAGCTGGGCATCGACGGAAAATCATATCCATTGACACACGCACGTACACATACGAACACATTCACTTGCACACATACGAACACACACACACACACACACACACACACACACACACAAACACACACACACACACACACACACACGCACACACCTGGAATGGCGGGTAGTAGATCTCAAACTGCGTGCGCTCGTCGACGTTCTCGGATACACCGCTGCGGTTGGTCTCCTGGTTGTTTTGCACATAGTGCTTGGCATTTGCCAGCACACCCTGGCTCTGGATGCCCTGGATCACAGGCTGCACCAGCGTGTATCCAAGGAACGGGTCCTCTCCGCTCAGGTACTCAAAGTTGCGCCCATTCACAGGCACGCTGCCAATCAAAGAAGAAGAAGAAGAAGAATCAAACGACAAAGGCACAACACCACAGGCAACCAAAAGAAAAAAAAATGAGCCCAGCTGGCAGGCGGCAAGCGTTTGCGATGACACTAGCAGCCTCAGTCGCACCACCTCACAGAAAGCGTAAAGCCATTGCATCACAGAGCACAAACGTGACACCATCAGGTGACATACCGGGCAACGCAGAGGCCAGGGCCAAGCTGAATGTTGGCACCCTTGTCGTAAAACTGTGCACCATGTTCATAGCGGGTGTGAGAGTGAGTGAGTGAGTGAGTGAGTGGGGGGTGCATGTGCGTGCGTGCGTGCGTGCGTGTGCATGTGTGAGTGTGTGTGAGTGAATGAGTGAGTGGGGGGTGCATGTGCGTGCGTGCGTGCGCGCGCGCGCGTGTGTGTGTGTGTGTGTGTGTGTGTGTGTGTGTGTGTGTGTGTGTGTGTGTGTGTGTGTGTGTGTGTGTGTGTGTGTGTGTGTGAGGGGTCTGCAGGGATCGCGGACTGTTTAGAGTGCAGAGCCTAGACCCAACGAGGTCCACAAAGCATAACAAGTAATACAACCACACATGGCATAAAGCCCCGATCCTGCTGTATCAAGAACGTGGTCAAGGGAGCGCAAGCCAGTGTCAACATCGCGCTTGTTCTCCGATCAGACAACTACAGCCACGCACCTCCTTGCCCATGGCGGTTCCCCAGTCCTTCATGGCGTTGAGGTCCCAAGTGGCTGCAACGGTGAGGCCGCTTGGCCAGCACGTGGTCGTGCCCGGGTGCGCGTTGTCACGGAAACCTTGTGGGCCTGGCCAGCATCATAGCAAACGTGCAAGAGGGGTGAGTGAACGGCCTCCGCGGTTCGTGGAGAGCAGCGAGCACACAACACGCACCCTAGCGACGCCGTACACCACACTCCAAGGCACCCTTTAACCAACTATCACGCACATGCACATGATGTGTGCGAGACACACACACACACACACACACACGCACACACACACGCACACATACACTCACACATACACACACCCTCACGCATGAGCGAGGGTTGTGCTTGCAAGTGCTGAACTAACCATCGTTGAGGTTGAGTGCAGGGATGCCAAGGCGGGTGTTGGCAGGCACATTTCCAACGTATGGGCCTGTGCTGCCATGAAGCATGGTGATCTTCTCATCCAAGGTCATTTCTTTCAGCAGCGCCTTTGCGCGGGACTCTGGCGTTGCCTGCCAGGGTGCACAGCACGGGATGGCATGTGAGTGTGTGAATGGAAAGAGGAACGCGTGCGTGCGTGGGGGGAAACATTGCGTGCGTGCGTTTTGCGGTTTGTGCCAGCCTCCAGACAAAACAACACCCCAACAATGAACACATCACTCAATCGCTCTCACAAACATGCACAGCAGAGACGTTAACGTAGCTCTGGTGCGCTTCACTTACGCTGAGATCCATCCATGGCGTGCCGGCTGCAGCGACAGCCACCATCGCGGCTGCCACCAGCAGCACCACTGACACGTTTGTTGCGCGTTGCATCGTGTTTTGTTTGGATTGCTTTTGGTTGTGGAAAAATGGACAATGTTTTCAGCGAATTCTCAGCACCGCAGTTGCACTACTTGTGGTGGTTGGCTTCCTCTTGTGTGCTGACTCTCTCTTTGGCTTCTTGGTTTGTTTGTTTGACAGTTGTTTCACGCGCGCACACACAGGGCATAACAAGTTGGGCCGGCCCTTCAGGAATGCAACTGTGGAGGGGGCTCCATTGGAAAGGAGGGAGAGAGAGGGCGGAGGAAAAAAGGAAAGAAAGAAAAGAAACAAGCAACACGCAAAAAAAAAAAAAAGGGTTGAAGAAAGCAGGGGTTTGGCCGCTTCTTCTTCTTCTTCCAAGGGACAGCAAACAAGCAAGCAAGCAAGTCAAGGAAACACACAAGAGACCACTGTGACATTGTTAGAAGGCTAGGTAATGTAAAGAAAGAAAGAAAAGACGCAAGGCAAAGCATACAACATACAAAACGAAAGTACACAGTCAACATGGAAGGAATTCCATCATTTCACATCAAGGAGACATGGGGAAACAAGGAGGAAACAATGGTCATCATTGCTTCTGGAGGCGCATGCAGAGCTCCTGCAAGCACGCAAAGATGGTCAGAAGCATCTTCGGCTTGACCTCCACAATGTCCTCCTGCGTATTGGCGGTTGGGCGTGGGGTTGAGGGTTCGTGCGTGAGCGTTGCGAATCAGGTTGTTGTTGCCGATGCAATTCAAGTATCTCTTGTGCATGGTGTGCAATCGAAGAAGGTCTGACGACCAAGAGAGAGGTAGGACGGGCATGCAAAGTCACAAACAGCAGCTCGCACACACACACACACACAGATACACAGATGCTCACACAGATACACAGATGCACACACAGATGCACACACAGACGCACACACACGAAGCACACGGCACTGCAGGCGCGACTGACCGGAAGCGCGTAGACGCCGGCACCAATCTTGCGGGCGATGGTGATGGTGTACTTGGCGTTGGCAAGCTTGTCCTCGTCCGTCTCCGCAGCGGTGACCATGTCCTCCCGGAAGGCGTTGGGCCGGATGGTGGAGATGAGGTTGAGGATGGGGCGGCTCGTGGCGATGGAGTCGTCCTTGAAGCTCCTGATGGTGTCGTACCCGCCCTCGCTCAGCCGCTGGTTCACAAACTCAAGCACCTGCTCGTCCGTGATGGGCTTGTCCGAGCCAGAGAGCTGCTGCAGGATCTTGAGTGTGTACGCGCGCATGAGCTGCCACGCAAAGCCGAGAATCAGCTTCTGCACGCCCTGGTAGATGTCGCTGCCCGCAATGCCAACAAGCGACAGGCCAAGCTGGCGCCCAAGCTCAACAGCGTAGTTGCAGTTCTCAATCATCTTCATTTGCGCAAACTGCCAACCAAGGAAAGGGCGTGACCGTCAACATGCGAGGTGGGTCGATGAGGAGATGGGTGTGAAACGATACCAAGACAAGCGTAAATCGGAAGGGCGTGGGAGAACAAGGGGGGCAGTCCCACAGAATGACCATGTCATCTGCACAGCTGTGCACGTACACACACACACACACACACGCGCGCGCACACATTCACCCGGCTACACACCCACCTACATACACGCACACACACACACATTCACCCACTTACAAACACGCACACACCCCCAATCGCGTACCAGCTTCTTGAAGGGGGGCTTGTTGACCTTGTCCCAGTTCACGATACCGGGCTTGATCTTGTCGATGAGCTGCAGCAGAACAAGGCCGCTGTTGAGGTCCGCATACAGGTGGTGCACAAGCGGGTTCACGCCCAGGCTGTTCATCCAGTTGCGGAAGGCTGGCACGCCGAAATGGTGGTGGTGGTGGTGGACACATGTGAGAAGAGGGGAACCCATCCAACGCAGGACAAATACGTTGCCACAGCGTCGCAACGCTGTAAAAGTGTGTGATTGTGAAGACACAGACACACACACACACACACACACACACACACACACACACACAGACAGACAGATACAAGCACATCGCACACAACAGCACTCACTCTTCTCCTCGCGCGTCTCCTCGATGTCGCCCTCTGCAAACGGGTCAATCTCGTCTGCCGTCTCCAGGCCGGGCCACGTGTTGAACAGGTTCGCAACAAAGGCAAGGTTCAGCTTGCGGTTGCCCTTTGCAATGTCCTTGGGCCGCACAAATTTGGCGCAGTCGAGCTTGGCTGCCTCGTCCAGCACACGCCTCGCGCGCTCCTCATGGTCCGTCTAAGCGACACGCAGCCAACAAACAAAGGGGCATTTCCTCGTGTTAGGGCTCGGGCACGGCAACATTACTCGTTCGCAGGGTCCACCCCAAAGCACAGCTCATTTTGTCATAACCACACACACATACATGCGCATACAAGGAGCACACAACGCACCGGATCCAGAGGAGAGAGATCAAAGCCGTACTCGCGGGGCGCAATCTGCGTGAGCAGGTACGTGTCTGATGTTGTTGTATGATTTGCACACATGCAAGAATAAAAAAAGGGGGGGGGGGCGGGGGCGGGGGAACACATGTGAGCAGCAGCGCAGAAAAGACGACACATGACACTGACCAAATAAACACCACACACACACACACACACACAGAGCGCGCAATGCATGCTTGTTGAGAAATAGACTTACAGGCCTCAGAGTCAGCAATGTCTGAGCCAAAGTTGTTGATGCGGCGGAAGCAGCCTGCGTTGGCGAGGTGGAAGTTGACCCAGCGCAGCAGCAGCTCCTGTGGTGTTGGGAAGGCGCGCACGTGTGCAGGAGCAGGGGGAGTAGGTGGGTTGTGGGTTGGCAAACGCAATGTGTATCTCAAACGAGCAAGCAAGCGAGCAACTAAACCAGACAAACAAGTGAAAGCAACCAAAGACATGCACACATACCCCCACAAACTCACACACACACACACACACACGCACACACACATACCCACACAGTATCACCACCATCATCATGGTGACGCACCTCTGGGCTGAGGGCGAGGAGTTCCTTGAGCTCTTCGCCGTCCTTGAGGAGCGCCGAGAGGCCCGGGCACTCCTTGATGTTGATCTTGTTGAACAGGCCGATGCGAATAATCTGCCACAGGAGGCCCAGGACAATGTGCGGGGTGCCGCACGACAGGTCCTCGGGCCCAATGTTGGTGATGTTGACGCCAATGGCCGCGGCGGAGTTGACAACAAGCGTCTGGTTCTCGCCAATGCGGAAGCTGTTGAGGTTGGACTTGTTGAGCGCGCGCTCGTCAATGGTGCCTGGCTCCGCGCTGTTGATCAGCTTGGCCAGCACAATCCCGTCCTTGACAATCTCAAACAGCTTCTCCACGCCAGCATCCGTCTGTGCAAGAAAAGGAAAAGGAGAATGAGGGTCAAAGGAAGTGCACTCAACATGCAGCGCATGCACGCACGATTAAACACACAACGAAAGCGTCCACACACACATGCACGAGGCACTTACGGAGACGTCAAGGGGCAGCTTCTTGGAGAGGTCGGCGTCCTCGCCCAGCGAGTAGTTGATCCAGTCGCCAAACGCAATCTGCAAACGCACACGCGCGACAGTGCCATGAGGAAACACGAACAGAAAACAACAAGGCCAGAAGGCAACCAGACACACACACGCGCGCGCGCGCACACACACACACACACACGCACACGCACACACACACTCACACGCACACGCCTCTGCACGAGCACGTACGGCTTCTTCCTCGCTGAAGGAATGGGTGGTTTCTGCTGACGAGGCCTTGGAGTTGCCACCAAGCTGCAGACGGGAGATGAGAGAGAGAGAGAGCGCGCGCGCGTGTGTGTGTTATGTCAGGGTGCCACAGCGAGAAGCAGAAACGGGTCGAGGAGTGATGAGGAAATGAATGCGTGAGCTGACAAATCATTGTTGTAGTTTGGGAATAGCTGCAATGCATCACGAGCCACACAGAACAATCATACCACAAGACACACACACACACACACCCACACACACACATACCACGATGCCAAGCATACCTTCTTGAGCTTCTTGACCTTGCCGGTGAGCTTGTACATGCTGGAGGCGGACTTCCCCCCACTGGCGCGCGCCTTCTTCATCATGTTGATGAACTCGTCAAAGTCCACAGTGCCGCTCTTGTCCGTGTCCACCTCGGCGATCATCTCACGCAGGCGGTAGCCGGGCACGGGCTCGCCGAGGCGCTTGAACAGGGCGTCCAGCTCCTCCACCGTCACGTTGCCGTTGCCATCTTGGTCAAACTGTGCACCCACAACGCAGGTGGGGGGGGGGGAGGAAACAACAGCGAGCAAGCAGGACAACAGGTGAACTCACAACCTTCAGGTGCTGAAGGTGCTTGAAAGCGTTCGTGCAAGCATAGCGACGCCACCACACCAAAGCAACAGACGGCACCAAACACAAGGACACACACACACACACACAAACACACACACACACACACACACACACACACACACAAACACACACTCAAACCACACTCAGTCAATTGTAACAACGCACACCACACACACACACACACATACGCACACACTCACACATACACACACACACTCACACACCTCTTTGAAGATTTCACGGCTCTCCTCAAGCTCGTCCTCACGCAGCTCGATGTTCTTCCAGTCAACTTCAGCCATGGTTGGTGTTCCTTGTTTGGTTATCGCAGTCAGTCAGGCAGTCGTTCGTTCGTTCGTTCGTTCGTTGGCCTTGCCGTGCTTTCGCTCTGACACGCAGTCGCTGTTCTGGCTTGCTTGCTGGGTTCTTTCTTTCCTTTGTGTTGTTCGTCTTGCTTCGGTTGGCTTGCCTTGCTTGCCTTGGTTGTCTTGGTCGTGGGGTCTTGCGCGCCGAACGATGACGATGAAAATGGTGATTCAGCGTGGGTTCGCGCGACACATACGAATTTTGTCGAGCAGCATTGCCAAAAATAACCCACGCAAACCACCGCACACACACACACACACTTTTCGCACGAGCAACTGGTCGTTTGCCACGACAAACACGCCCACGAACGCCACTTGAGACGGTGCACGCGCTGTGTTCAGTGGGTGCTGTTTCGTTTGCTGTTCTCACATCACGTGCATGCGTATGCTTGGTCGTGGATGCTTGACGAAAATAGCACACACAATGTGAGCACGTGGGTGCTGGATGCGGTCACATGCTTTGAATGAATGTCGTTTACTGCTACTGCAAGTACATTGTAACACAAGGTGTAAAGGGCGCTGCTGCAACTTGTCACACATGTTGCGACATGGAAAAAACCAAGGATGTCATCCACCACAAGGGGAATGATGTGATAATATGGAGGGGGTCCAAACACAAGGAACACAAACACGCACAAATACTTGTGGATGGATACACAAGTGAACATAGACACGCACAACTACACACGTGAACATAGACACGCAAATACGTAAACACACACGCCACAGCCACACACACACACAGCCACAGCCACAGCCACAGCCACAGCCACAGCCACAGCCACACACACACACACACACACACACACACACACACACACACACACAGAGCCACGGCTATTCCCATCATCCCATTCTACTGGTGCTCTTTCTTGGATGTGGATGGGCCTGTGGCTGGGCCGGTTCTCCCACTGCTGCCACCAAACGCTTCGCCAAGTTCATGCTCCAGCACATCAAGCGCCTGAAGCAGCAGCCCAACCTCCTGCTCCAGGTACTCGGCATATGCAGCGTGCGACCTCGAAAACAGCTGGCTCAGGTAAGGATTGTGTTGCATCGTGAGCCCAGCATACGCCGCCGCCACCACCGTCCGTGCTCGCCGTCCAGGATCGGTCGCCGAAGACGACGAGGAGGAAGAAGACGAAGAGGCGGCTGCAGCAGCAGCTGCTGCTGCGTGCGCGTCCTGCACCCAAGCCTGGCAAGTGGCTCGAATCTCATGGCGCTTGATGTAGAAATGCTGCCTCACAATGTCCTCAAAGCACTCGGGCGGGGACTCCAGCGTTTGTCGCATCGCATAGCGCACCGTGCCGTAGCGCACGATGTTGTTGTAGCCCATGTTCACCGCTTGCACATCCGGCGCCTGCCGTGAGTGGTCAAAGCCGGGCTCGTTGAAATACACGTCATCCGTCATGATGAGCGACTGAATCGACGTGAAGACCTGCAGCAGCGTGCTGCTCGTGTTCCACTCCTCACCGCCACCGTCCCCGCGCCACGTGCCGAGCAGCGACAGGCAAACCGTGCCGTTGTTGTACAGGTTCTGCCAGAGAAATTGCACCATGGAACGTACACACAGAGGCATGGTGAGGACGCGAAATAAATGGTTATCGTGCTAGCATAACGCCTCCACGCAAGCGCACACCAATTCAAACACGCGCACTTGCATGCACACAGACCAATACCCACACACAGACATAGACACAGACACGCACACACAGACAGACACACACAGACATAGACACAGACACGCACACACAGACCATACACACACAGACAAGCACAGACACAAGCATGTACTACTGACCGGGTTGAAACGAATGCTGCCGTTGCCAGTAGTTACCAGGCGCACAGTTGGAGGCTTGTGTGGGTACTAAATAGCACCAGCGAGGAAGGCATGATACAGGCAGTGATGAGCATCACAGAAGAGGTGGATGAGTCCATAAATGGCCACGCCATGAACGAAACAGATGACGAACAGACACAACAAAACAAAATGACAACAGAAAACAACCAATCAGCCGAGCAGCCAAGCAGCCAAGCAGCCAAACAAACAATAGCACGGGCAAACACACACACACACACACACACACTGACACAGACACACACGCACTCACATGCACAGACACACAACACAGCAGCACAAAGAGGTCACTCACGTTGGGCGGACAAAGGACGTCGAAGAGGAAGCAGCCGTTGGCGTATGGGGTGCCACGGGCGCCGGTGATCAGCACTTGCATGCGGTGGAAGTTGCTCTCGTCACAGCACACGAAGATGGCGTTGGTTGCGTCACAGGGCAGCGTGCGCTTGGCGTCTGTCAGCTCGCGGCCAAGGCGCGGAAGTGCAGGCGACGTCACCGACCGCTGCTCGCCAGATGATAGCGAGAACGTCGAGGGAAACTTGGACTCAATGCGCAGGCGCTGCCGTCCAAGACGTTGGCGATACTCGACAGCATCGGCAACCACAGTTGCCGGCACATCGCTCGTTGCCATTGGTTCTGACGTTGTGGTGGAAACAGCAGGTCTTGTGGTCGTTGGCACAGTTGTTGCAGGTGTTGCAACTTGTCTGTCGCCACGTTCGTTCCCGGCTGCATCCGTGCCCTTGTACTCTGTTGTTGTTTGCTCGTCGCGTGCCGCAGGCCCGTGCCCATCATCGCGCTCACTTGTAGGTGGCGCGACCTCAGGAGTCATCCGCACGCGTTCTGGAGCTGCCGGTGCCTCGACTCTCCGAAAGGCGTCAACTTCGACATGAGACTCCTCCTGCTGCTGGCCTGTGGAGCCCTCCCCATGCACACGCCGATCCTGCCGTTGCTCGGTAGCACCACCACCATCATCATCATCACCACCACCACCACCATCATCATCATCATCATCATCATCATCATCATCATCATCATCATCATCATCATCATGGTCGTCGTCGTCGTCGTTACCACCGTCGTGATCTCGCGGCCTTGTGAAGGGCGACCTGAGCAGGGACGTTGCCGAGGTGAGTGGTGCCGGGGACACCACACCCGAGGACGCCGATGCCCCAGACGAGGACGACAGCGACGACGCAGAGGCCGCACCAGAGCCAGAGCCGGAGCCGGAGCCAGGCATGCCGCGCCTGTCACGTGTCCTGCCCGGTGCCGACGATGACGACGACGATGCGTGTCGGAGCGCAGACTCAACCTCCTCCGCAGCCACTCGCAGTAGGTGCATGAGTTGGCGCTGTGGCCGTGTGGCAAAACGCGCTCCAACTTGCTCGTAGTCGTGCACAAGCGTGCGCAGCATGGACAGGGGCGACTCCAGCCACCGCGCCATCACGTTTGTGTCGTCACACGCGCACAGCGCACGTGCAAACAGCACAAACGCCTTGTTCACGTTGAGGTAGCGGAACAGGTCGTTGATGCTGTCGTTGTGCAGCCACTCCTGCACAACCTGCAATAGTCCACTCTCCTCAACCACCATCACAAACGCCCGCTGCACCCTACGGTTGTTGCTGACGCGTGCCTGCTTCGCACACGCCGTGAGAATGCGGATGTGCGACACCAGGGACTCAATCGACTTTGCGTGCTCCGCAGCAGCAAAGTCCACACGCCAGCTGGGCATCTGCCCGTGCGCGCCCATGCCCATGCCCAAGCCGGCAGCAGGCAGCATGCCCGAGAGCGCGCCGGGGTCGCTGCTGCCGCTGCCGCCTTCAAACAGCGACAGGTCTGGCTCCGAATGTGGCCGTGATGACGCCACCGTGTGCAGCAGGCCGCGTTCCGCCAGGTACTCCCGTGAAATGAGCTGCCGGTTCAGGTTGGAGAACACAAATGGAGCATGCCCAAAGTTGAGCAGGACCAGCGTCGCCAGCTGGCCTGTGACAGCCGGGTAGCGTGCCCGGGCCACGCTGGGGTCGGAGTAGCCGCCAACAATGCAGCCGTTGCGGGTGAAGTACACAAGCCGCTCATCTGCCTTGAAGCCGCAGCCCATGACCGTGCCCGGCGGACACGAGTCCGGGCCGGGAGCGATGTAGTGCAGCTGTCCAGCCCGCAGCGAGCCGTCAAAGGCGTGAAACCCAAAAGTGCCGGCTTGAAAGCCAACCATGCTTGTCAGCGTGGGCAACGCGCTCACGCCAATCGCGGCAAATGCTTCGCGCGCCTCAGCCAGCGTCACCTCAAAGTAGAAGTCACGCAGCGCAGATGCCGGCAGCGGCTTGGCGGTCGTCACCGCACCAACCACCGTCAAGTTCGCTTCCGAAAGCAGGCGTGCTCGCTGGTCCACCAGCTCATGGAACAGCCGCTGCGCCGGGGGCGCCCTGTCCGGCTTTCGCCGCGCCTTTGTGTTGCGCCGCCCTTGTCTTGGGCTGGACCCGGGGCTGACCGAGGTCCACCCTGGAAGCGAGTACGGCAGCGGGGTGGCATGGGTGCGCATGCTGCTACCAGAAGTGGCATCGTTGACGCTGCGCCCAAGAAGCACCGCGGCGTCCTGTAGTGGGAGTGCTCCACCTCGGCGGGGGCTGATCCCCCTCCCCCGTCCCACTGCTGTTCCTCGTCCGATACCACCACCACCACCATCACCACTACCGGCTGCGATTGTGCCGCCAGGTGTCGGGAAACCGATGACTGTCGTCGTTGCTGTCGCTGACGATGAGTGCTGCGGGTGCAGCGAGGGCGGCGCCCCAGCAACGTTGGCAGTGCCCTCCTCTGTGGAACGTGAGGTGACGCCGAGGAAAAACGCAAACTCAGCGCCCTCCCCCTGCACAGCGTTGGTTCTCTTGACAGCAGGGTGTGTCACATCAAACGTCTGCGAATGTGTGGAATCGGCGTCCTCCTCCATCTCTGCCCCGCCGGCGGCAGCAGAGACTGCGCTCACGCAGTAGTGGTACACAATTCCGCTGCTCAGGAGCGTGCGCATCATCGCTTCCGTGTGCTCTTGAACAGGACGCGCGGCGGCGCCACGGCTGCTGGTCATGAGCAGGTTGTACAGCACACCGTCAAGCAGCGCGCTTGCATCTGTCGCACGCACGGCGCTGTCACGCAGCACGTGGTCTGGCATGTGCATCCCCGACTGCAAGTATTCAGCATCCGCAGACGACACACCGGCTCCAACAAGGCGAACCAGCAGCGCTCGGAACACACGGTGCTCAAGCGCGGCGGCAAGAAAGCCCGGAATGTCAGCCAGCACGCGCACATGACGCACAAACGCCTGCGTGTCCTGACGGGCACTTGTCAGACCCACGGTCTCATCAGCACCTGTGGCCTCCTCAAACAGGCGTGCATCTGGGGGAAACGTGGACGCAGCCGCTTGCACGAGCTCGTAGAGCTTGTCGTGTGCAGCAAGCTCGTCAAACAAGCCCCTTGGAAGTGGCCGCTGAGGGTGTTGGCGGTCTGCGGTTTCTGGTGTGTCTTCAACACATGTGCTTGTGCTGCTGGGCGGTGTCGAGGGCAGCCGTGGTGTGAGCACCGGGCGCCCAGTGTTGGCATCCACGTCAAGCGTGCACCACAGCACCAGCGCCCCATCAGCTGGGGACATCTGCGCCAAGTCTCCCAGTGGCAGATGCGCCAGTGAGGGACTGCCGACTGGTTTCGCTTCCGGTGCCTGCTTCGCCTTCGTCGTCTTGCCAGCAGAACCGGCAGCCGTGCCATTGCCGTCATGGCCATGAGCACCACCACCGTTGTCGTTGCCACTGCGGCCGCCGTCGCTGTGACACACATCGCTGTCCGTCGAGCTTGCGCTACGGATGGACACTGCTCCCACTGCCACATCAGAAACGAACACGGTTGAAAGCCCGCTTGCTGTTTGGATCCAGACAAACGTCTTTTCCAGGCGAACCACGCGGCCAACTTGTGCGCGATCCGACATGGCACGCCGCACCACAACGCGGTCGCCCACTTGCACCTCGAGGCCACCAATGCGCAGGCGTGTGCCACAGCAGCCCACCCGCTTTGCCAGGGTAGACTGCGCAGCGGGGAAAAGGATGACGCCCACTCGCTGAAGCGATAACGATGCCGGCACGGCAAGCTGCAGCCCAGACCACAGGCCGTGTTCCGGTGGCGACACAACCCACTCTCGCGGCACAAGCGGCGCCGCCACAGCCGGAGCGTTGGGGGCAATGTGCAGTACAACGCGCACGGAGGCGCGCAGGCTCAGCAGGCGATCCAGGACGAGCGGCGTGCACTTCTGAAGCTGCATGTGGCGGCTGCCTGCAAGCTCACGTGCAAACTTGGGCGATGCCGTACACAGAGCACTCACAAGCAGTGGCAGCAAGGCCACAACACGCGCCCTATCTGGCCAGGGCAGGCGGGACACCGGCGTGGGCGCTGTCACCAGCAGTCGTGCACAGTCATCGCCAGAGAAGTGAGACAGCAGCAATGCTCGTACACGTGCATTTGCACTGCACTGAGCTGCGAAGAACGAAAGTGCAAACACTGCACGCGCGGGCCGTTCTCCTCCCCCTCGTCTTTCCGCTTGCTCCTCCTCCTTGGGTTGTGCGCTTCGGTGTCCTGTCACAGTTGTTGCTAGTGCGTCCTCATCCCTTTCGTCGTTTTCTGCTTCGCGTTCTTCGTTTTTCCCTTCCTTTACTTTCTCCTCCTCCTTCTCCTCCTCCTCCTCCTCCTCCTCCTCTTCTTCCCATGCCAATGCTGGTGCTGCTGTAGTGTTGTCAGTGGCTGTGGGCGCAGCGTGATTCTCTGGTTGAGGATGCATACGACACAGACTGGCGAAGTCCAGGAAGAGCGTGCTCATGTATGGCCTTGATTCATCAAGCAGCGCGTCCAGCACTGCGCGGCTGCACGTGCACAGGGCTGCGAGCACCCGCGCACGCCTGCACGCGCTTGCTGCACTCTCGGTCGCCGAGGGATGCAGCAGAGTCACCACGAGCCACTCTGCCACAGGAACTGAGGCGGCAAACGCGCTGTCCTTGTTGGATGACACAGGTGATCCAGGCAGAGAAGAAGGTACAGCATGCACTGGAAGCTGAGCGAGGGCAGCAAGCGCACCAACGTATGCACGCAGGGCTGCCAGGTGAAGCGACGCCGCCGATACCCCTGTTGTGCGTTCCTGCGGCAGCAATGTCACAGAGTGGGGAGGCAGAACCGCGCGAATGCCACCGGCTGTGACGGTCACGCTGTTTCCAGGGTCAATGCTCACCACGGTGGCCAGCTTGCCGAGCAGGGAGTGGTACCAGGGCCGCCATACAAACCCCAGCCGCTGCGCGTCCGACATGGCAGACACTTCCACGAACACCTGATCGCCAACTGTCAGCTGCTGCGGTGCATGAACAATTTCAAGGTCAGCCATCGACGCGCGATGCACAACCACCGTGCGCCCCACGCTCTCACCACCGTCGCCGTGGCTGTCGCTGTTGCGGGTGGCTGCTGGAAACAGCACACCTGTGCTGTGTGAGACGAATGTGCCGATGGTGCCCGTGGGCACCTCGTACGTGGCGGTGCGAGCCGACCCAAGCAGCCGCACCCGCATCCCCGGCACAAGCAATTCGCGCACATGTCTTTCATAATCAACCACGGACGCGAAATCACCCATGGCAAAGGCGGGCGCACTTCCGCGGTGCAGCGCGCCTGCTGCCAGCAATGACGACTGTATGGCATCAGACACAGTCTCCAAGCCAGCACAGTCCCGTTCGCAGGCTGTGCCTCTGTGACATGGGCGTGATGGAGGCGGTGGTGCTTCGCCCTCGACAGGAAGCGGGGCGGACTGCTGGCTAGAAACGGTCAGCATGGTCCACACGGCTGCAATTGCAGCATCAGCAGCATCATCGAGCATGCGTGCATCATCCCCAGGGGCCTCAACATCGTCCCTACCAACAAGTCCAGCGCTGGAAAGGGCCTCGAGAGACCACGACAAGAGCTTCCTGGCCAGGGCTGATGGGTCCAGCAGCAGAGGAGGGAGTTGGGTGCGAAGGGCAGCCACGTCCTCAGCGGTGTTGCGCAGCTGGTGGATGCCAGCCCGCAGCACGCGACACAGCTCAAGCTGGGATTCCACGCCGCCAGCTGCTGTCGAAGGAGTCGGCGACGGTGGAGACCTGGCCGATGGCGGCGTGTCGCTGTGCACAATGGCGTACACAACTTCCTGCAGCCACTGACGCGTTGTGGTGGTAATGGTGGTGGTGGTGGTCACGGTGGCTGTGCTGCCGTTTGTCGCTGCTGCTGCTGCTGCCGCCGCTGGCATGGGCGTTGTGGTTGATTGCTTTGACGGCGCTGATGAGCCTTGCACGCCTGAACCTGGGTCGGGTCCCGCGCAACGCGGCCGCAGCATGATTACTCGAAGAGCATTGACGTTGGTTGCAGTGAGTGGGCGGGTGAGCAAGGCGGACGCGGCTTGCTCAGCTGCGCCATACTGGGAACACATGCACAGTTGCTGCAGCGCTCGCGCGGCTGTCTGGGGCAGCACAGGCACCAGGGACAACACACGGCGCAGGAGCTGTGGAAACAACGGGCTGTGCGCAACGGCATCGCGCGCTGTCGTTGACGTGCGTGCGGGGTCTGTCATGCAGAGTAGCAGCTTCAGTGCGCTTTCACCGCTCCTCCAGCCCTCGGACGCTGGCAGAGAGATGGCTTGCAAGCTGTCTGCCAGGCGCACGGCCATGGTGCTTGTGCCTGGTTGCCATACCATGCACGTCGCATCCACGGGCACCGCTTCAAGCAGAGACAGCACATATTCAAGGCCGCGGTGCTGTTGCACAAAGCTGAGCACAGCTTGGTCCTTGTGCAGGAGCAGCAGCAAAAGTGACATGAGCGGCGACTCCATCACTTGCACCAATCGAGCGTTGGCCACCTGGAATAGCACTCCAACACAGGCTGCTGCCGCAGCCTCATCCTCGCCAATCAGCTGCAGGATCATGTCAAACAGCAGCACGTCCAAGTAGTTGCTGCTGTTGTTGCCAACAGACGTATCGTCTGCGCCATGTTGGTCTGCGTCACGCGCTGCAGCAGCGGCAGCGTGTGCTGCTTCCACAAGTGACGAGTACGCGTGCAGTTTCGGCACTTCCACGCGCTGACCTGCAAGACTGATACGGCGAGCGCTGTCAGCGCTGCCATGGCTCGTGCTGTCTGCGGTGCCTGCTTTGTCTGTCGCCCATGATTGGCCTGGCTCATCCTCATCAAGGCCATCACCAAGGCCAAGCCTCACCCAGGATGCACGCACGCCACTGAGGTCGTCATCCTCAGCACTCGCACCGGCACTGCCTTCGCCGCCATCACCGCGCCCACCGCGAAGCAATTGCTGCAGGTTCGCCATGGAGGCTGCCAGCGGCTGCCGCGACCGCTGCTGCTGCTGCTGCGCACCAGGTCGGTTGGCGGTGAGGGACTTCAACACGCGCCGCGACACTTGCGCACTTGGTGCTCCCATCCCAAATAGGGTTGCACCCACCTGCCCGGCAGCGCTAGCAGCAGATCCAACAGCAAAAGCGCGCGATTGGTGTTGTGGAAACGACGCGGCCGTGTGTTCGGTGAGGGCGCGATGCACAGCGTGGGCCGGTGGCGGGCTCAGGTACACGAGGGACGTGAGCAAGAACTGCACCTTCTCCAGGAACGTGGCACGTGAAGCGCCATTGTAGCTCTGATGCCGGTCTGGGGATTCGGTGCTGAAGGGCACTGGTGAAGACGTGGGTGAGAACATGTCCATGGGAGGTTCACCCACGTCATCGCCAGCACCATCGCCAGCGGGTGCATCGCGCGGCGGTGCCCACCGCTGACAGGTCCAAAGGTCTCGAACAAAGGTGGTGGTGGCGCGTTGCATGACGCTGCGCAGGATTTGGTGCACATTCTGCAGCAGGGCCACCTTCCACCTCGCAAAGGTGTCGGAGGTGGTCTCCACGGCGAGCGACTGGGTGGCAAGCACGGCCACGGCGCATCGAACCACGAGGCGCAGGAGCGGTGGCGCCGTGAGCAGGACGCGTGTGGACGCAGGCAGCGTCACGCAGTGAACGAGGTCAAGCAGCAGCATGGAGCCGCGGTCTTGCAGGCGCCGGACAGCTTCGGCAACGCACCGCAGCAGCGACTGCATTGCCTGCAGGCAAATCACCTGTACCCCAAGCAGGCGCACAACAGCTGTGCGGATCACCGACCGCAAGTGGAGGGACAACGCCTCGTCCGGGGACTGGCAACAGCTCATCACGCACTGCCAAAAGGCGCGGCTGCGGGCGACCTCCTGAGGGTCCGCGCGCTGTGCCAGGCTGAACGCAATGATGCGCAGCTGGTGATCCGTTGGCGCATTCAGGCGCGCGGTGCTCTGCGACAGCGCCGCAAACAGCGTGTCCAGGGCACCGGCGGAGATGACGGGTCCGGGGCGGTCGGGCGGGCCGTACGGGATGCAGCTGGGGCAGAGGTGGAAGTCGCATCCTTTGGCGCAACTGAACCGGGGCACGCCGCGGGCCAGGCCCGAGTGCTCGCTGCGGCAGGAGATGCACGTCCACGGCCGGTGCTGCTGTGTTGGCTTGGACGGCAGCAGCGTGTGCTCGTGCCAGTCCACGCGCAGTGGCGCGCCTCGGTCGTGCAAAGGCATGAGCACGTTCAACAGGAACGGCAGCGCGCTCGTCGACACCAGGCGCGAGTGGGAACAGGCCCGGAGGTACTGGTACACAACATCCTGCACAAGCGCGTAGTGCGTGTGCAGCGGCACCGGGTGTAGGAGTTGCACCACCGAAGGGTCACTGCACCGCGGGTCAGCAAGCGGCGGCTGCACGGCGCGGCAGAGGGTCGACAGCAACGAGGCCACTGCCCCTTGCAGATCCTCGTCCTCGCTCTGTGCAATGCCGCGCAAGAACCGTGGCATGGCATCATGCGTCAGCACCCACATGATGGATCGCCAGGAGCACCCACCGCTGATGCGCTGGAGCAGGTCCGCCAGCAACAGCAACACGTCTCGAGATAGCGGCTGCAAGAGCGCGCTTGATGCCATCAACGCAAACACGCGCACAGGACCAGCTTCGGCTTGGTCAGGAACAGTGGCAGGAGCAACAATGGCGCTGTCACTGCTGCCAACGCTGCCAACGCGATCGGCGGCATGGGCCAGGCCAGAGCCGGCTTCTTCGTCAGCGATTGGGGCTCGTGTGCGACGGAATTCATGGCGACCGTACACATGACCCGGTATTGTTGTTGTTGTTGTTGTTGTTGTTGCTGCTGCTGTTGCTGTTTTGTTGCTGATTTTCAGGTTGTCGTAACCATGAATGACGTTCCTGTCAGAGGGGGCGGTCCGCGTTACGTGCACGAGAGCAAGATCACACATGTCGAGGGAGGCCGGCGTGTCGTGTGCGTTGAGCACGCGCCCACGCCAAGTCAGGACGGCGGCAGGCAATGCATCACCGTGTGCAAACTGCAGCAAGTCGCACGCGGAGTATACACACGCGGTGCGAAGCAGGCGCACCACGTACATGCCATGCTCCTCACTGGAAGAGAGCGGGCCAGCAGCGCCGTTGCGGGGTTGCCCGGTGGCACTCGCGTCTGTACCGCTGTGCACTGGAGCATCAACTGCAAGGATGACGGCAACAAACGGATCCACGATCGCTTCCTGTTGGCGGATGGCCGGGCGGGGACGCACGTGTAGCACATCCCCTGTTGCGAGACGCAGCATGCCAAACGTCAGCCACCCGGGCAGCACGCGCCCGCCCTCGTTTACAACCTCCATATTCGCCACGTCCAGCCCATGCGCAGCGCACAGCCTCAACAAGAACGCGGCAACAGTCATCAACGCTGACACGCACGTCTCGTGCAGCTCTTCGTGAGGGCGAGGTGGGTGCTCAAACGCGGAGGGTGGCGCTTCTGTCCTGTCTCTGGCCGTGTCTCTGTCCTGCGGGTTCACTGCTGATGGGCCGGTGGCCGATGGTGTGTTGGCGGAAGCTTTAGAGGGCACGCGATGGCGGGCTGCACCGCTTTCCCGCGTCAGACACACCTTCAGTACGAGGTGCGTTGACCACAGTGAGCCGGCAGCATCCGTGCTTTTTGACCTGGGCTTGAGCAGCGGCGTGCTGCCTCGTGTCGTTGTGCTCCCACTGCCACCGCTTTTGCCGATGCTGCTGGTGGCGGAGCGGCTCGCCCCGACAGTCAGGTCTGCAGGTGTGGCTGCCTCCTCAGAGGAAGCGTTCTTGTTGCGTTGTTGGACCGCTTCCAAGGCGAGGGGCGCCCATGCCGTGCGTGCTCCCCAGGGTACCTCGGCCCAGCCGGACACAACCCGGCGAACATGCAGGATATCACCCGGCAGCATGCGAGCAAGCACTGGCGCCGTGATGCGCGCAGCATTCCTCAGTTCAAGCGCGGGTGCAGCGGCTTGCGTGACGACAAACCACTGCATGCGCTCTCGCGTGTGAACGACACGAAGCATGGGCGCTGCCGTGCTGATGGGCAGCCAGCCGTCAACCAGCCCTGGCGTTGTGGCGCGCTTGACTTCCACGCGCATCCATGACCCTTGACACACAAGCACACGCAGCACGTCGCCGGGTTCCACTTGCCCAACGATTGGCGCCGTGGAGGAGGAGGAGGAGGAGGAGGAGGAGGAGGAGGAGGGAGAGGATGACGATGATGATGCGGTTGATGGCGCATTGAGTGCAGGGCCACGTAAAGAAGCGGCGGGCACGGCCCTGAAGAGGGGAATGGCTGACTCACCCACAAAAGAATAGCGTGCACGCAGGGTTGTGGCGGGCTGTATGCGACCAGCGCGGCCATGTGTTGATGCGGCGCCCTTGGTCGTGGCTCGTCCCATGCCCGAGGCGACCATGGTTGACGCTGCTGCTGCGGCCGCTTTGGCTGCTGGTGAGTGAGTCGCAGCAGCTGGGATGGCCACATGGCAGCGAGCACGAAGGAACAGCATCAGCGGGCCGTGTGTATCACCATCGCTGTGGGTTGCGTGCTGCGCATGCGCCTGCTGGTGCTGTCGCTGCAGCAGAAACGACACTGTTTCGTCGCCTTTGAGGTCGTGCTCGTCAGCCATCGTCAGCGATACGGTGGTTTGGTCGTTCACCTCCCAAATGTTACGCAGCGCAGCCATCGCATCTGTCACGGTTGCATGCGCCGCAGCGTACAGGGCAGCACGGCGGTGGGTGTTCTGCTCAGTGACAACGACGCAGGGCAGGTTGCCGCAGTGCGGCGTGGCATGCTTGTCAGGCAAGGGGTGCGTAGCGTCGGGTCGTGAGCGTCGTCGCCCCTCCAGCCGCGGCATGGCCTGGGTGAACGCGTACAGTGCACCAGGAAGGTATCGGCGTGCAGCGGAGACGCCCGCGCGCTCAACGTCATCAAGCAGATCCTGGAGAAGGCGGTTGTGCACGGAGGTGTCAGCGAGGCCTCTTGCCTGCATCAAGCACACGGCGTCGTTGACGATGCGGCGGCTCAGGCTGTGGTTTGGTGCTTGCTGCAAGATGTTAAGGACCAGCCTGTTCCACTCGGCAACGGAAAAGGAGACGGCTCGCACCAGCACGTCCACCACAGCTTGTCCAACTGCCGACGATGCCTGCAAGCACAGCCCAAAATACAGCTGCACCGCCTCATCAACGGTAAGCGTGCACAAAGCGCCGCCTTCAGCAGTGTCGGCATCCATGTCGGGTGAGATCCGTTGTGTTTCACCAGGAACCGTGGGGCGTCGTGAGCTCTCGTCGTGCTGCTGCACTCGTGCCGGCAGTAGCTGCAGCAGGCGATCCAGCACAGCGTGTGCGAAGCGAGAGTTGCGATCAAATGCAGGTGTGGGCAGCACCAGCCTTGCCTTGGTGCTTGCGGCAAGCAGGTTGCGGTGGTTGCGCAGGAAATGTTTCAGGGTTGACGAGAGGCAAAACACGTCCGCTAGCCGCTCAACACACGCTGTGTATGCCAGCTTGCCCATGTGCATGTGTTCCTCCAGCTGCACGTGTTCGTTGCTGGTTGGGGCGCGTGAAGCAGCAAGCATGACAGAGGAGAGGCTGGCTTGGCTCCGCTGCAGCGCGGCTTGTGCAGCCCGCACGCGAGCCTCGAGTTCTGAAGCAACACCCTGGGCTATTTCTGCCAGGTGAACGTCCCGTGGGGCGCCGCCGTCGGCTGGACAACGCGGCCGAGTCTTGCTGTTGCTGGTGCTGGTGCTACTACTGCTGCTGCTTTTGCTGTGCTCTTCTTCGCCACCGTCAGGCACCGGGTCAGAAGAAGGCACTGGTTGTAGCAGCACGTGCCCATATACGGACACAAACAGCGCAAACGGTGGATCCTCAGCCTTTGCAGGGAACAGGGAAGGTAGCCCGGGCAAGTTTGCGCCGGGAGCGTGCATGCCAAATCCCGCACCGATGCCAGCAGCTGAGACGCCATCAAGCCCTTGGTGTTGTTGCCGCTGTTGCTGCGACGGGCTGCGTGTCTGGCGTTCTTGCTCCTGGGTAAGGTTCTGGTGCATGTTCGGCTTGGATGACGCAGCGCGTACAGGCGTGACGGTGAGGGAGCCATCAGAACCCTTGCCAACATGCACATAGGACACACGGTCTGGGGGCGTGCGGTACGGGTCCGGGCTGCCCACGTCGTCGCCGGCAGCGCCTTGGGCTGCAGGGGTGACGGTATCGCACTGGAATTGAAGAAAGCGGCACGTCAACGCGAGGTCGGCGTTGATCGTTGTGCTGTCGACTTCATCAAGCGTGAATGTGCCAATGTGCACGAGCGTGATCTCGGTCAACGTGGGGCCGCCGGTGCATGTGATGCGCAGGGTGCGGTCGTTTGCAGCCAGCGATATGACGAGGCCAGTCACGACAGCGTGTGGAACCTCAACCACCGCCGATGCTTGCCGATGTGCGCCGGGGAAATCCACCCTGTAGCGTTGGAAAACTGTGGCGTCGAGGCCTTCTGGGGCGCTTGCGGTGACGCCTTGCGTGGACAGGCTTGAGCACACGCGCAGGGGCAGCGGGCACGCCGAGCCAACACTTTTACTGGTGCGATGCGGCGTTGGGTGGTACTGGTGTGAACGCTGGCCAGCAGCACTGTCGGCAGTGTTGTTGCTCGTTGTCGTTGTTGTTGGTGCGGTTGGCGTTGACGGGGAGTGAGGTTCTTTGTCATCTGTGGTGATCAGGGGCAGGGTGAGCCGGTCCAGGGAGAAGAGCATCGGCTCGAGCACGGGCGCAGCTTTGCCGCACATGCCATGGAGCGCATGATACATGGCGGCGTTGGCGCTGTGCCTCTCAAGCATGTCGTGTGCGACGCGCAGAAGGGCGCGCATCGCCGCGCAGACAAGCGCACGCGGGTTGGCGCTGCCAAACTCAAAGAGAAGATCGAGTGCCTCCTGAAGACGTGTGCAAGTGGCAGCGTGCTGCTGCATGTCCGGCAACAGCGCAAGCAACTGCGCCGCAATGGCATCGCGTGCCTGCTTGGAGGACGCAGGGGCGGCGTGGACGGCGCAGCGGGCTATCGCTGGCACGGGGCTGAGGCCGGGGTGAGGGTTGGTGATGAACCCATCACGAAGCAGCCGCCGAAGCGCGCTTTCTTGCATCAGAACACGTGGCGCGCACACAAACAGGTGAAGGCTGTGTTTCATTATACGCGCGGCGTGGGAGAGCTGGGCCGGGGCGTCACAGGTCAGGCCTGTGATGCCAAGGATACCATCGCCAACCAGCGTGGACACGTCGGCAGCGTACGGTTGTGGCAGGGGGCGTTGTGCAGCAAGGAGACCGAGGCGAACGTCGCGAACCTGGGTCGCAGCAGGCCCGCACACGTGCACCTGCAACACCCGGGTGCAGGCCGAAACGCCATGTTCGAGCGGGCAAAACAGGACGTCCGCCATCCACGTGTCATCGGGACCCTGTATTCCCAGCATCATTCCGAAACACAAGGCGTCAGCAGGGATGATCACGGGACGATGCACAGTGCAGTTAAAAAAGGCGTACGTGTGTGTGTGTTGTGAGAGTGTGTAGGTGCGTGTGTGTGTGTGCGTGCCTGTATGTGTGTATGTGTGTGCGTGCGTGTGTGCGTGTGTGTGTGTGTAGGGAGAGAGTGTGTGTGTGTGTGCGTGTGCCTGTGTATGTGTGTGTGTGTGTGTGTGTTGGGCAACTGGGGAAGAATGCAAGAGGGCGACACTGGGCGCACGCCTGATGCGATTGCACACCGCAAAATGCTTTAAGTGCATGCACACACAGAAACATAGTGTTGGGATCGACAGAGCTGCTACGTACATCAAGCAGCTGGCACTTTTGCAGAGGAATGCAAAGGACGCTTGGCTGTGTTGGCGCTGAAGATGCTGGTTCAAACACAAGTACAACGGAGCTCTGCTCCACACGAGCAACATCCTGTGCCTCGGAGCAGGCCAGCAATCGCCTCACAGAGACGTGAACGCGACAGCTGGTAACTTGGCCACGCGCTTTGACGTGGAACGCTGCGGACACGGCATCACCGGCTGGAACGTGGCCGACTCTCGCGATCACCTCGCCTTCACACAACCGGACATCGTCTTGCTCTGTGTAGTGTGTGCAGGTGAGCATGAGAGTGAACACAGGCGAGAAGGAGAGGGAACACATGTGACAATGAGAGGGAACGCATGTGCAAGGCAGGCAGGCAGACAGGACTCACGTGGCTCATTGGTGCGCCTGAGCGTCTTGGTGGTGAGGCCCTGTCGTGTGATGGCAAACTGCTTCACCCAAGCCAGGGCCACGGGCTCCTCGGTGCCCTGGGCCTTGGTCTTCTTCCTGCTCTTCTTTTTCTTGCCTTTGGTCTTGGCAGCATATTGGATTTGCAGCCAGTCCCCGCTTGCACGTGCGACGGCGTGCACCACCCCGCCCTTTCGAAGAACACCAAGCGGTTCTGCGTCCAGCGATGGTGCTGCGCGCACACGCAAGGGGTTGTCGCCATTCAAGACGAATTCAACAGGGGCGGCAAACGTCTGCACAGCCTGCACAGGCGTCGAAGAAGAGGCAGATGAAGGGGATGGCGATGATTGCGGTGGCAGGGACAGCGGTGATGGCGGTTGACGTGGCGGTTCAACACCTGCACCCGCAGAAACCACAGCATCACCGCCAACGCAGACCATGCCGGCACGCAGAGGCGGCGGCCACGCGGGCGGCAGGTCGTGCAGGCACAGGGACGACGAGACACCGGCATCGAGAGCAGGCTCGGTGTTGCTCGCGGCATCGGTCGCACAGGTATGCGCCAGTGCAAGAGGCGCTGATGTGGTGGCGATGATGTGAGGGGCGCTCGCGTGCTTCGGGAGCAGCTGAACCGGCGAAATCAGCGAGGGCACCTGGTCAATGCTCGGTGCAAGGGACGTCAGGGGCTCTTCGGACTGGTGCCGGCGTGTTGGTGAAAGGAGGTATGGGGGCACAGCGAACGTGGTGAGCTGGGGCGTGGCGTCCACAACACCAACTTCGGAGGTGCGAGCGTTGAAGTGAACGGCGCCAATAGGGAGGCGGAGCGATGGGTCTGCAACGCTGAGTCGGTGGCATGCCGCTTTCCGTGCGTGCACGTGGACGGCAATACCTGAGGCCGCATCAAGGGCAATGCAGCCTGTGGGTGTCGGAGTGATGCGCACACCCTCTGCAGGGTCTGAAAACTCAGCCGGAAGCGGAATAACCAGCCACTGCGCGCTGCACCACCTTGCTCCTGCAGTCGTGTTGCGCAGAAGAGCATCGCGTAGCGAAATCACTGCCGCGCAGGGGCCGTGTTCATCGTGGTTGCCAATGGCAATCACACAACGCGGCAATGCATCATCACCATCTTCACTGGTAGCTGTGCTGTTACCATCTGCTGCGTCGCAAGTTTCACAGCAGGCGAAGACCTGTGCAAGGGGCACAGCAAACCCGCCTACGCACTGAGCGTGCTCCAGCGTGCGCTTGTCTGAGAACTGCAGCACTTCGGCGTGTCGGCGCTGCAAGTGCGATGCAGTTGCACTCAGCGTTGGGAAGCGTAGTCCTTGTTCCAGGTGATCCACGGGCGAACTACGTGGAAAAAGTGTTAGATTGAGTGTATGTGTGAGTGAGTAAGTGTATGTGTGAGTGAGTGAGTGAGTGCGTGCGCGCGTGCGTGTGTGTGTGTGAGTATGTGATTGAGACTTGCGTGTAGTAGGTATCGTGCAGCCGTCTCGGTGTGGCACACGAGCCAGCAAGTGTAAACAGGGTGCGAGGACGTACACAAAGTATCCATCTGGCGTCTCGGCGAATGAAGCGAGTGCAGAGTCGACGCGGAACACGGCAACCAGCGAGCCCTCGGAGCCCGCAGAGAACAGCACGTGCACGAAGAGCGGCAAGAAAGGCAGCGGCTGTCCCATCACACCCACATGCAAAATTTCGCCAAACTCAAGCAGGCCTGCTTCCAGCAGCGCTGCAGCCTCATGGTCAATCAAGGGACGGCGCGCAGTGGGCCACATGCCAGCCTCATCGCCCACGCTCGCATCATCATCATCATCATCATCATCATCATCATCATCATCATCATCATCATCATCATCAGCATCAGCATCAGCATCATTGTCGTCGTTGTCGTTCGATGTTCGGGCGGAGGCCGGTGGTGATGAGGAAACACCGCCGTCTTGCCTGACGACCAAGACATTGCTGGGCTTAGCACTGCTGCGTCGGTTGCAATGTTGCAATAGTACAGGCGAGCAAAGCAGGGAGCCCACGTCGCACGTGCGCGTGTTGAAATGCGTGAGCAGGGCAAGTTCAGGGCTCGTACCCCACACCGACACAGTGCCGGAGTCAGGACACGCCATGACAAGCGTGTGTAACGCTTTGCTCTCGCCAACAAGCGGGATGGAAGGCGGTGTTGCCGACGCCGTTGACAATGCAAGCGCCGCAGCGGCTTGATTGTGCAGCCACGTTTGCTCCGAGTCAGCGCTGGCGTCATCACTCTCATCAGCTCGGGCTCGCTCACCATCGCTCACAGCGTCACTGTCATACACCCAACTCCCCGGCTCACCCTCTCTGGCATCGTCACCATCACCAGCATCGTAAGCAGCACCATCTTCATCGTCTTCCTCATCATCATAATCATCATAGTCATCATCGTCATCATCACCAGACTGCATGTCAGCAGCATTCACGTCGAACGCACCACCATTACCATCCATGCCATCCGTTGACCGTTCACGACTGCTTCCTCTGCTTCCATGGTCACAGCCGTGGTGCAGACGATAGGAGTGCGGTTCGTTCGCGTGTCCTGTCCAGGTCGCGTTGTCTCCAGCTCCGCCACGTACAGCGGTGTCGCCGTCGTGACCATCATCATCATCATCATGTTCATCGCTGTCACGCTCTTCTTCTCTCCCGTCGTCGTCATCATCATACTCGTCTGTGTCAAAGTCATCGCAGGAGTACCATCCGCCAGCCCCGCTCTCGCTCGTGCGTGTGTGCGACGGGTACGTGCGCCCAGGCAGGTTGTTGATGGCCGTGTGCAGGGGGATGTTGCGGGCGTGCATGCTTGTCCAGCCCGCATCCGGAAGTGCGCTGCGCGTTGAGCTGTGCTCGATGTATTGGAGGAGAGCAGCGATGGAAGCCGGGGAGTCACACGCAAACGTGGCGTGGGTGTCGTTGGGTGCGTTGGTGGCAGCGCTGTTGTTGTTGTTGTTGTTGTTGTTGTTGTTGTTGTTGCACATGGCGGTGTAGTGGCGCACGCGATGCGGCTGTGAATCCGTTGGCGCGTGCACAAAGCCGGCATCAGCGAGCACGTATGGTGACAGCGTTGGATGCCCCCACGCAGAGAAGGTGTGCAGACGCTGTAGACACGATTGCATGCGCGTTTCTGGTGTGGTGTGGAACAGAAACCCTGCTTGGGACTGGCGCAGCTTGTCCTCCATGCCTGCAAGCACGCTCTGCACCCGCGCGCACCACAACGGAGGGTGAGCCAATGCAGCATCACCCATGCTTGCGAGGCGGCTCGACACAGCAATAAAGCAGGCAGCTTCTGCCGCCCGCAAGGAGAGAGCCACGCGCTCCACACGCTCGCTACCCCTGTCGCCGCCGGCAGGGGAATGTGGAGGTTGTGTGTATCATTTGCGTGTATGGCGTGTGCGTAAATATATGTGTGTGTATGTGTGTGGGCGTGAGTGCGTGTGAGTGAGCGAGGGGATGTGTTGGGTGGACACGGCAGATCAGAGAGAGAGAGTGTGTGTGAGAGAGTGTGTGTATGTGTGTGTGTGTGTGTGAAGAGGACTGGAGGCGGGAACAAGGCGTTGGGCAATCAACAGCCGGAGAACCAACCCATCGATGGCAAGCGCGCAGCTGCACAGATGCAGGCGTGTTACATACCCAGATTGGATGGTCTGGAATTGGGTGAGGAATGCTGTGAGCGATTGTCGTTGCTGCTGCGTAGAGTTGCGCTGCGTGATGGCGGTGATGAGTGAGTGTGTGTGTGATGAGTGTGATGAGTGAGTGTGATGTGAGTGTGTTGGATGAGTGAGTTGGATGAGTGAGTGTGATGAGCATTGCAAAGAGGTGTGGACGAGGCCATTCAGTGCTGCCTGAAATGGTAGCGACAAAGTTGACATCAGGCCCATGCTCCCCCAGCACATACCATGCTCGCTTCGAGTTGGCTCCAGTTGAGATGATGCAGCAGGCAGCCAAAGTCTTGTGCAGACAAGTCAAAGCAGACAACATCTGCTTCTTCGTCTTCCACATCCTGGAAAACATTGTCCAGTACGTGACGTGGTGATGGGTGTGCACACGAGTGCATGTGCATGTTGAATGATGGAACGGGGTGAGCGACAGCTAAGACACTTCTGCCTTTTTGCAAAAACTAGATGGCTGTGCAGCTCCAAGCACGGCCGAACGCACCTGTGGACGGGTCAGCAATCACACACCCACCGACACAGACACCGACACCGACACAGACACAGACACCGACACACACACACACACACACACACACACACACACACACACACACACACACACACACACACAGAGGCGCAAGTTCACGTACCTGGGATGGAAAGATGTTGTGACAGGGATAGGTGGTTGTGTCTGGGAGGATGCATTTGACTTGGCTCGGGGATTGCACGAGAACCGCACCACACGAGTTGAGGTAGGTTGCCCGCATGCATGCATTTGGCAAAGTTGCGATGGGTGCAGGCAATGGACACGCTAGTCGTCTTCTCGCTTCCTCCACCAAGGCGTGCAAAGGCTGCTGCTGCTGCTGTTGTTGTTGTTGTTGTTGTTGTTGTTGTTGTTGTTGTTGTTGTTGTTGTTGTTGTTGTTGTTGTTGTTGTTGTTGTTGTTGTTGTTGTGCGTGATGGCCGGCAGACGCGGCGCGTGCTGGGCTGTCCTTGCTGTTCTTGTCATGTGCAGGTACGTGAGATGCTGACGCGGGTATGGAGATTGGACAAAATCCACTCGTGTCTGAGGACACCAGCCAGATGTTTCGGTCTGTGTCAGCATGGAGGTGTAAACCCACAGCACGGTGAAGTGGCAGGGGTTGGCGCCCCTTGGGAGTCAGCTTCACCGCCTCCATGCTGCCCTATCTATCTGCCAGGCTCCAGAATGATGGTGCTGAGGTCAGGGGTGGGAGAGGGCAGCCGTTCACAGATGCAGATGAAGGCGCTGTATGCTGGTGGTTGGTTCTTGGTTGATAGTTGTTGGTCGTCGCAGTGGTTGTTGGTCGTCGCAGTGGTTGTTGGTTGGGGTTGTACAAGTCGTTGTTGTCGCTATGATCGTTGCTGTGCGGTCGACAAGCAAGCAGATTCCCACGTGCACGCCACAGTGCAGGGATGGCGCGGTTGGTTCGCTCGCACGCACGCACGAGGCGGGTGGAATCACCAGGGCTAAATCGGCCGCGGTGGTTGGCGATATGGTTGTCGCGACAGTAACATGCGCGGCAGCGATCGAGGGTGTGCTGTTGATGCGGTGCTGATGCTGCAGGGCTGATGCGTGTGAAGTCTCGGGTGGTTTGAGGTTGTCGTTGTGGTTGCAGTGGTAGGGGATTCCCTGACGCCGTTCAACGAGCTAGCCAGCTGAATAGTGGCAGGGAGCGTGTGTCTCTTGCTTTGGGATCAAGCCGGAGGGAAAGTGACGGCCAATTGGCGTGGCATTGATTGATTGAAGCAATAACTTGCTTGCCAGCGAGTCTTCACGATCATCAAGTGAACGCTTGCTTGCTTGCTTGCCTGGCAGTTAAGCACAAATCCGCAAGCGCGCTCGCGCAACAGCAGACAGCAGCAGAGACGAATCGTGAACGGGTCGCCACAACCACCACAGAACAGAAACTACTTTTTGTGGTGTGCTGTTCCTCCTCTCAACGACCACCACAATCCACGAGCACAACAACGACAACGACAACAACGACAACGCTCTTCTCCATTCGTCGACGCCCACACACATCCACGCGGCCACAGCATGAGTGAGCCGAAGAAGGTGATGACGGCAGCGGTAGGGGCGGAGAAGGAGGAAGAGAAGGGGACAAGGAAAGGGTGGAGGAAAGAAGGGGCTTCAAAGAAGAAAAGAGACACGTTGCAGCTTGTGAACGGCAGTAGCCGCACCAGCAGCAGCAGGAGCAGCAGCGGCGTGCGATCGAGACAGCAGAGCGAGCGCGGTCTGGACTTGGACCTCGCTGCCGACACCAATGGCGCATCCGTGAAGCGACAGCTGTCAGCACCAGACATGGAGGGGTTTGTGTTGAAGAAGTGCAGGCGAAACGGCGACGATCGCCCCTGGAAGCGGCGCTGGTTCATGTTATGCAGCGGCTCCATCTTCTACCACCACACGCAGGCCAAGGCGGACCCCGTCCGCTTGTTTGTGGACGTTGCCGGGGCCAGCGTGGAGCCGTGCGATGCGCCGTCCGGGTTTGGCATTGCCATTCGCCGGGCAGACCAACCCAGATCACACTGCTTCGCTGTCAGGACCGAGAACGAGCGCAGATCCTGGCTGGCTGCGCTGGCAAACGGCGTCGCACGCCCACCGCTGAGGTTGCCGGAGGACGACGACGACGATCTGCGCCGCGCGCCAGGCGGCATGTACAGGTTCAAGTCGGCGCTGGCCAGCGCATTTGCCACGTCATCGCTTGGCAAGCACCTGATTCGGCGGTACCTCGACGACGCTGCGCGGGCGCTCATCTCGCACGTGCTGGACTTCACTGAGGCCGAGGCCGGGCGATCTGTGCGAGGCAAGATGGAGACATACATCTTCGATCTCGCGTCCCGCGTCGCCATCATCGTGCATGAGAACGCGCTGCCCGCAAACCTCGACACGTCAACCCTGTTTGACGAAACCATCACCTTCTGCCAGTTGTATGTGCGCTTCAGCCGGGATCGCCGTCTGGCCAAGCAGCGGCAGCTTGCCGTGGAGCTGTCTGCGCCGTCCGAACAAGACGCCACGCAGCGCCAGGCCGTCATATCTGATGTGGACGCAAGCGAGCTGTTGCGGGCCATCGCCTACGTCACCAGCGTGTGGCGAACCATCCTCCAGCATAACGTCTCCGAGAAGACGCTTGACCGGTTTGACTTTGTGGTGGAGCACCTGCTGCAGGAGGATCGCATCAGCGCCATCTTCGACAAGACGGAGCATCGCCAGCGCATGTGCGGCATCGAGCAGTCCCTCCGCGAACTCATGGAGATTTATTGAGCCTGTGTGTGTGTGTGTGTGTGTGTGTGTGTGTGTGTGTGCGTGTGTAAGAACGTATTGTGTGTGTGTGCGTGTGTGCGTGTGTGTAAGAACGTATTGTGTGTGTGTGTATGTGTGTGTGTGTGTGCGTGTGTGCGTGTCTTGTTGTGGGTGAAAAAAGAAAGCACAACCCCGTGTGTTGTGTTGTAAAGGTTACATTAATTCCTTGGACGAGCCTTTTCGTCCTTCCTTGCTTCATGAAGTTGTTGTTGTTGTTGTTGTTGTTGTTGTTACACTCCCAGCCATTATTCTGGAACTAGGGCAGCTCCGCGAAACGAGCGAGGCCGCCGCTGTTAGTTACATTACGACCCAATACACCCTTGTTTGACGTGGGTGGAAGGACACACTCGTGTGACGTTGATTGTTGAACGAGTGTAGCTTGCTCAAGTATGCACACACGTGCACGCGAAAGCGCGTGCAAACATGCACGCAAACGCACTCACAGCCACACAAATGCACGCACGACCGAGCTCATCTCGTGCAAACAGGCACAATCCGCGCAATCGTGCTGGCGTCGGCTGTACGCATGTATTCGTGGGTGTACACAGAGGCCTCAAGCACTGCACCACAAAGCAGACACCAGGCAGCAGCAATAGGAAACAAACAAAGACACGCACGCACACAGAGGCAAGGAATTTACGTGTACAGCAGTTGGGGAGGAAGCAGATCACACCCACACATATCAGCTGGGCTTCTGGAAACGCGATGAGGATGAAAGGAATGCGCGCAAAGCAAGGCGAAAAAGAACAAGACAATGACTGGGCAGCAGGATCGGCAGGGCATGGCAGGTGTGTGAGTGTGAGTGTGTGCGCGCGTGTGCGTGAGAGAGAGAGAGAGTGTGTGTGTGTGTGTGTGTGTGCGCTGTCGTTGTTGTTGTTCATAGCGCGTCCTCCTTGGGAAGAAGCTGTCTCGTCAGCTCTCTCTGTGCAAAGGACACGAAGCACACACAAGATGGAGAGGGGTGTCAGCGTGATGGTGGTCAGGGTGGGGTCGATACAAGGGTTTGCATGAGTGTGCGTTGCTCGTATCGTGGCAGAGACAGGAAGCAGCCAATTGGTCATACAATGTGCACGGGAGTACATAATGCCCCAAACGCAGACACAAAAACAAACAAATACAACCACAGCCAGAGCTGTGTGTGTGTGTGTGTGTGTGTGTGTGTGTGTGTGTGTGTGTGTGTGTGTGTGTGTGTGTGTGTGTGTGTGTGTGTGTGCGTGTGTGTTGTGTGCGTGTGTGTGTGAAGACAGAGTGAGAGGGAGGAGAAAGAATGACGCACCAGGGGCAGGAGCTCCTTCTCGGGCACGAGGTCAAACGTCCGCACAAAGTAGTAGAAGTGCTTGTAGCACGTGTTGATGTGCGCCTCCTGTGTGGACCACAGGATAGCACCGGCAATCACGGTAGCGAAGACAAGGAGGGCATGAGAACTAATTGCGCTCGCGGGTCAAGTATGACACGTGATCGTGGACAGGCAGAGCGCATACAATGGGAGCTGGTTGCGCATCGTATTGAGGTCGTGAAAGAAACAAAAGGATGTAGCTGCAACAACAGTTCTTCCTCCGAGAGACGGTTAACACACACACAACAACACACCACACACACACAACAACACACACCACACACACACACACACCACACACACACACACACAACAACACACCACACACGCACACACCACACACACACCACACACGCACAAACACGCACACACACACACACACACACACACACACCACACACGCACACACACAACAACACACCACACACGCACCACAAACAAGCACACACCACAACACATACCGCGCCGATGGTGGTGAGGCGATCAAAGTGGTGGTAGTACACGTGCACAAACACCCTGAAGAGGCGCTTGAAGATTTGCTGCACAATCTTGTGGAAGTTCTTGGGGAAGGGGATGTCTGCGTTGAACAAAACAGCAAGAAGCACACATCGAACAACGACGCAGCCGTGAGGGTCACAATACAGTGTCCATGTGCAGCCTTGTGGCATATCGATAATGAGGATGGTTTTGGTTGTGCAGGCACTGATGAAATGGCATGAACAGCGCCCCGCTCACGAAGATACACACAACACACGCTGTCATTAACAACAGCACCTTCAGCATCACCTTCAACAACATCAACGCACATCAACACACACGCACGCACACACAGACACATGCACGAATGCACACGCACGAGCTTCTGGTGGAAACACTTTCTCGTCGTTGATGAGGGTCTCGATCCACTCCATCAGCAGCGTGATGTACTGAGTAGCAACAGGGAAGCACCGCAATGACAATCGGTGAATGGCAAGTGTGCACCAGTGTGTGCGTGAATGGGTGAGGGCAGGCGACAGAAATTGTGCAACAAAAGGAAACCATCGAGGGGACATTGCGGTTGATATTGCCCAACAACGACGTGGAAGTGTGGCGGCTCACCTTTGGTGCAGATACGACTGTGGGCTTCTTGTAGTGCACGTCATCCTTCCACGCGTACTCATACCTATCGTGTGCGTGTGTGTTTGCATTTGTGGGTGCGACGATTGTGTGAATGTGTGTACATGGGAGAGGATGACGTCCATGATGTGGAAAGGGGAGTGCTATGAACCAAGGTGGCCATGCACGTGCATGTGCGTGTGTGTGTGAACATTGAACATACTGTGGGCCGCCGGACATGACGGGGCAAGATTCGTCTGTGCAGTCGTCGCACACTGTGCCGTAGATGAGGTTGATGCGGTTGAAGAAGTCCACCACTGTGATGCGCAAAACAGAAAGGAGTGGTGAGTGGCACAATTGTGCGAAGGACGACATGAGGTAAAGCACGAAGATAGCCGAGAGAGAGAGAGAGAAATTGTGTGTGTGTGTGTGTGTAAGATAGAAAGATAGACACAGATACAGACATACACGCACAGAACCAGCCGCATGTACACACACGCACACAGGCACACACAGGCACACCCGCACAAGTTGCCGCACCGTGCATGGCAAGCCACTCGTTGAGGTCCTCGCCCTCTGGAAGCTGCACACAACCCTTCAAATCCATGCCGGCGTTGAGGGACGCCTATGCTCGCCCCAAATTATAGAGGTACACGCGCAACAGGGGGAAGCAAGATTGTGAGCTCCTCACCCAGCTGAAAGTCAAATGTCCAAATGAAAAGAACGACACCCATGCAGACTCGACCCCCTCACTCCCTGTCGGGGTTTGCATAGCCACGTGCCACATACCGATGCCTTCTTGTGCAGCTCATAGCGAAGCGTGCCTTCTTTGAAGTTCTTCTTGGGCCGAAACGTCTATTGATGTGCATGCATGCGTGTGTGTGTGTGTGCGTGTGTGTGTGTGTGTGCGTGTGTGTGTATGTGTGTGTGTGTGTGTGTGTGTGTGTGTGTGTGTGTGTGTGTGTGTGTGTGTGTGTGACACAATGGCATGAATGAAGGCATGAGCGAATGAGCGACTGAGTGTGTTTGGTTGTGCCTGTGTGCGTTGCATAAACCAAGCTTACACTGTGTCATGCACCACCACCTTCTCCTCCATCACAGCCACCGCCTCCTCCTTCTCCACCATCATCACCACCTCCACACCTTTGCGCCGCGGAACATGGTTGTGTTGGGTGGGAGGAAGGCAGGAAAGCAGAGGCGACAACAAGGAGGCGAGGAGGCGATTGTTTTGTTGTTGTCGGTGTTGGTCGTTGTCGTTGTGTGTGCTTGGATGTGTAAACTGAATTCAGTTCTCGGTCCGTTTCTCTTTCTGCCTGCAAGCAAGCAAGCAAGCGAACAGGGCAAGCAAGAAGCAAAGGCCAAGCACCGCGATGCGAAGCGTTCAGCAAGCAAACGCAGCTGCAGCGCGCTCCACCTCCAGCCCAACAACAGCAGGAACAACTACAGCAACAGTAGGAACAATAGCGGGGCTCGCATCGGCTCAGCGCAGGTGGTTGGTAGGGCTGGTGGTGGTGGCAGCGGTGTTCTTTATCTTTATTGTCACAGCAACCAGCTCAAGGTCTCCGGGAGGGGGGCAAGCTGGAGTGCAGTCTCGGAGATGGCGCACTCTAGGCGATGGCAAGTTAGACATCGCGTCCCAACAACGGGGGCAACAGCATCCCGATGACAGCCGCAGGTCAAGAGGGAGAAGAAGAGGCGATGCTCTGCAGCAGTATTTATTTCCAACTCCAAGCAACCCAGACTTTATGGGACCCAAACCAAACCATCTGCCTGCGAATGCAGTGAACACGTCCATGCTGACTCCGTTTGAACGGCAAATGGCCGTCCAAGTCCCGCATTTCCTCATCATCGGCGTTCAGGTATGCACACAGGGGTTTTTGTCATGTGAGGTTGAATCGGGCGCACACGCATGTGTGCTGTTGTTATGTCCGTTTGCTGTGTGTGTGTCTGTGTGTGTGTGTGTGTTTGCGAGTGAGCGAGTGAGCGAGTTTGTGAGTGTGTGAGTGAGCGAGTGTGTGTGTATGTATGTGTGTGTGTTACTTGTGCGATGTAGGCGTCACTTGTACTTGTGTTTATGGGCACGGGTGTGTGACTTCATCCTGCATGTATGCAAGCTTTTCACTCTCATTGGGTGAGGCATGGGCTCATTCCGTTCTTTGTGCACCCGCGCACACATGCACACGCACATGCATGCGCACATTCGTTCGTTCCTTATTGTTACATGTTGGCCCAATTCAGAAATGCGGCACTAGTGCGCTGTACTTCTCCCTATGCCAGCACCCGAACATCACCTGTGCTGCCAAAGTCAAAGTGTGTATACTTGCTTCGCTCTCGTGCTCCCTGGCGCACCACTTTCAGACTTTCATGGCTGTTACCCATCACACACACACACACACACACACACACACACACACACACACACACACACACACACACACACACACACACACACACACACACACACACACACACACACACACACACACACGCGCGCGCGCGCGCACACCAAGCCCGTTCTCGCTCACGCGGGTGCTTTATATCCGGCGGCACTGTTGTGAACAGGAGCCTTTCTTCCTCAGCATGCCATCTAGCACGCGATACTTGTCCGCGTACGCGAGCACTGCCGTGTCCTCCATTCGCCACCAGTACCACCTCTCCTATGCAGCAACCTGCTTTGACTTGAACGCGTTGCGCCCCGGGCAGGTGCGCCAATCCTGCTCTTTGCGCTTGCTCTACGCCCTGCACTCCCTGTCCGTCTGAAGAGGGTTGCAAATTTGGTTGTGGAAAGTGAGTGCAAGCATTCGCTGCGCCAATTTGCATGCAAGCAACAAACTCAAACGACCTTGCCACCGCTTTCGTAGATGACGATGGAGGCAAGCACGACGTACTTCGAGAGCGATACTGCATTCGACATCATCTCTTCGCACCTTGTGAACTCGCACGAGGTCAGCGTGCGCTTGTGGAGCATGAGCATGTCGCATGGGCCAATCAAGAACGTCGCGATTCATTGTGTTCCTGCAACCAAGAACTCACACACACACACACACATACAGACGCACACGCACACACATGCACACACGCACACGCGCACACACACATACACACACATACACACATACACACATACACATACAGACGCACACGCACACGATCCATCGAAGCCATTGAACTTTTTACTGCTCGTTGTGCGCCGCCATTCTCTTCTGCCTGTATGTCTTGATGTCTTTATGACACTGGCTCATCTTTAGTGGCGTGCCATGCCGTGACTTGGTCTTCAGATCAAACTGCTGGTGATCTTACGCGAGCCCGTGTCTCGCGCGTACTCGCACTACCAGCACGACATGCGACGCAAAGGCCCAAAGCCAAACCAGCCGCGTGACCCAAACAACCCCTTCCACGGCGACAAGTACGCGTCGTTCATCAGCGCCACAAAAGACGAGCTGGCAATCCTCAGACACTGCCGTGAGGTACACACCTGTGCTGGCTGGAATACGGCTTGTGAGACTGTAATTGTGGCTGGTGCTGCTTGGAGTGAGCCTTGAAGCTAGCGTTGTCTGTCGCTTGTTGCTTGCTCGCTTTGCTAGCTTGGGCTTGCTTGCAAGCATTCGGCGAATGACATGGGATGCACGCTCAGCAGTCAGCCTTTTGTTTTGCTTGAGAGCGGTGCTTGCAATGTTTTGTTTCTGCTTCTTCTTCCTCCTCTCACCCATCTACCCATGACATTCGTGTCAGGTTGATGAGCTGTACGCGAGGAACGAGTTGCCACACAAAGAGGCCTTTGACTATGAAGCGTTTTATCGGTGCGTGACTGCGACCGCTGAGCAGTATCGACGCGTCAACAAGCAGGCTCTCCCAGGTTACCTTCTCAAGGTTGGGGTGTGTACGTGCGTGCGTGTGTGTGTGTGTGTGTGTGTGTGTGTGTGTGTGTGTGTGTGTGTGTGTGTGTGTGTGTGTGTGTGTGTGTGTGTGTGTGTGTGGCAGTGTGTGTGACAGTGTGTGTGTTTGACAGTGTGTGTGTGTGTGTGTGTGTGTGTGTGGCAGTGTGTGTGTGGATCTGTGGATGCCTTCGTTCGTGCGTGCTTGCGCGCATGTCTTGTGACACCGCCTGAGTGGATATGTCTTACGATTTACCACGCTCGCTTGTCAGTTTGCCTTTGGTTTCCACTCTCCCCCATGCTGTGCGTCAACTACGGATCCGTACTCACAATGCACTCACACCACACGAACCACAACAGGGGTTGTACTATGGGAGGCTGCGAAAATGGCTTGGCTCTTTTCCGTCGCGACTGCATGTCATTGTGTATGACTCGTTCCGGTTTGACCCTGTTCAAGAGCTCAACAAGGTGGCGTTATCAACCAATTGACCGAGCACTTGGCCTTGTGTCTCGTGCTTTGCGTCATTGCTTGCGTGCTGCCTCGCCTTTGTATGTGGCATCATCATTCTATCATTGTGTTTGAGTCAACTCGTTTTCACCCTGGCTGGCATCTATTCCATTTGATGTCCTTCATTTCTCTGTTGCTGCTGGTGGTGGTGGTGGTGCTGGTGCTGCCTGTGCTCCAGTCTTGTGTTGCTGCTGTTGTTGCTGATTGTGCTGCGTGATGTGTTGACTTGCGACACGTGCCGTGCCACCCATTCATTTTACTCACTGGTCCTCTTGCCGTTGTGACTCTGTACACAACCACACACACACACACACACACACACACACACACACACACACACACACACACACACACACACACACACACACTACACTGCACGCACGCACACACTACACTGCACACACACACACACACTACACTGCACGCACACACACACACACACACACACACACGCACGCACGCACACACACACACACACACACACACACACACACACACACACACACACACACACACACACACACACACACACACACACACACACACGCACGCAGATCCCGACAGAGATGTGTCTGGCATGCTCCCAAACAGCCCAACAGCTTCCACCAGCCCGTGCGTTGAGACTTGACTTGCCGTTTGCGGCAGTGCTCATGTGCTTGTTTGCTTTGCTTGTACGTTGATGGTATGTCTCGAGGAAGCACCCACAAACACGCCCACAAACATGCCCACAGTTCGGTTCCATTGCAGAGCCAACTTCATTAATGATAACACCACACACTACACGTTTTACGCCCCACCTCAGTGCCTCCTAGTTCATCCATCCTCTTTCCATGGCCTCAACGCCTTCTTGTTCACACACAAGCAATGAGCAATGCAGGCAGTGGTGGGGTGGGCTCACGTCATATCACATTGACAATGCACACGCAGAGAGAGAGAGAGAGCAGAGGACAGCCCTAGCTAACGTAAGAACAAAGGAAGAACACCGCGTCCACGAGCGTGTGCAAACAACGGCGTCGTGCGATGGGGGTGCGAGTGGTGATGTCATGAGATGAAATGCAATGGTGTGGTGACTTGAACACACACACACACACAATCACACAGACACAGACACACAGACACAGACACACAGACACAGACACACACACACACACACACACACACCAATGTAGGTAACGGCAGGGAAGGGCAAAGGGTCATAACACGGTGGTTCGATCGTATACAGTGAAGAAGAGCGTAGGCAAAAGTATTGACATGAAATAGAAGAGACGGGAGGCAGAAGCACTGGCACAGGCACGTGGACTACGACGTCACGCAGCATCGCCGGTGTCTGTTGAAGACGTGGTGTGCCCAGATGATGTGCCGAGCCTCTTCACAAGCGCATGCACCCGACCCTCCAGTGTAGCTATCCTCTTCTCCACCTGTCATGGTCCCGTGGACGCATGCAATGTGGTGCAGGATGGCAATGGTGAGGTGCACGCGGGAGAGGTGCCATGGGGTGCAGCGAAACGCACAGCGAACACACGCAAGCAACTCATTGGATATGCGCAGAAAGAGACGCGCGCAGATAGACAGACAGACAGATGGACGGACACGCAGACGGACGGACGCACAGGCACACAGATACACACAGATACACACAGACACAGACACACACACACACACACACACACACACACACACACACACACATACACACACAGACACAGGCATGCATACGATCCATGCCCCTCAACGGCTCACCTGAGCGTCGTGTTCCTTGACAAACTTCTCCATGACATTTTTACTCCGCTGGAACAAGGCAGGATCAACGCGGCGTGGCAGCATGCCGGGCGTGATGAGGGACTGCGGGATGTTCAGCAGTGCTGCAAACGGGTTGGCGCTGCTGCGCACAGCGGATTCCAGCAGGGTGCTGAGAAACGCCTTCTCGTTCTCCAGGCGCGTCGCCTTGACGGCCAACTCCGTATTTTCGCGCGTGTATCGCTCCACGTCCTGCTGCATCGTCTCAAAGCGCTCCTTCTTGCGCCGCCTATACTTGTCCGCCGCTGCCTTGTTCTGCGGCCGCTTCGGCTTGTCCTGTGAGTCGTCCTGCGTGCCATCAAAGCCGGCGAGTGTTTGTTGCAGCGTGGACGACGACAATGATGATGATGATGCAGCGGAGGCGGCGGATGCCCGTGACGATGCAGGTTGCATGCTGCTCGCCTGCTGGTTGTGCTGGGACGATCGCCCTGCCATATGCGGCTGCTTGGCGGCGGGTCCTGCGCTTGCTGGCCCTGCGGATCGCCGCTTCGCTGCTGATAAGGCTGGTGCAGTCTGCTGTGAGGGAGGCACCGGCGTGGCCGGCTCTTGTTTGATGGCGACGTGGGGCGGTCCCTGCTGCTGCTGCTGTCGTTGCTGGTGTTGCTGTTGCTGCTGTCTCTGAGATCGCCGGCGAGTCTGGCGACTTGCGGTGGGCGTTGCATTGGCTGCAGTTGGTGTCGCAGTCGGTGGAGCGGCGAACGCTGCCCCAGCTTGCTGCTGCTGCTGCTGCTGCTGCTGTTGTTGCTGCTGTTGTTGTTGTTGTTGTTGTTGTTGTTGTTGTTGTTGTTGTTGTTGTTGTTGTTGTTGTTGTTGTTGTTGTTGTTGTTGTTGTTGTTGTTGTTGTTGTAACTGCTCGTGGTCGTCGTCGTAGTGTGTTGGAGGCAACAGCGACGGCGCCGTTTGCACGGGATCCGCGACACCGGCGTCACCAAGGTAAGGAAACTCTGGCGGCTCCGCATGAACCGACGGCATATCCCAGAGGTGGAGCAGGTTAAACAGGTCCGCTGAGTTCTGTCGTGGGCCCAGACCGAGCGGGGATGGGGATGGCTGCGCCTGCCCCTGCGGCCGTAGGTTGCTGGTCTGGCTGTCTGGGTGCGGGTATGACTGGGAGAGTTCATCTTTCAAGTGATGGTTTGTGTGTTGCTGTTGTTGTTGGTGGTGGTGCTGTCCTTGGTACTGTTGGTGTTGGTGGTGCTGTTGTTGTTGGTGGTGCTGTTGTTGCTGTTGTTGCTGTGGTTGCTGCTGGGTGTGGTGCTGCTGCTGTTGAGCGAGCTGGGCGAAGTTGATGTCGTCTCCCAGGTATGGGGAAATGTCCATGGGATCAAGATCCACGCTTGGCAACATGACTTGCGGCTCGTTCTGCTGCTCAAGCAACTGCAACAGTTCCACAAGGTCCTGATCTGCGGCGCCTTCTTCACCACGCCCGCTGCTACTGTTGCCACCTCCTCCACCACCACCACCACCACCTCCTCCGCCGCCGCCCCCATTGTGGCCAGTATTGCCTGGGTGTTGCACGGCACCGCTATCACTCAATCCACTCATCGTGCATGCACACGCTGCTCTGTCATCGGAAACAAGGAAAATGCAGCGGTGGCGCTGGCACGCCACTTCTTGCTGCTCTTCCTTCTTGCTGCTCGCGTCATGTGACGGCATTTTTCGACGATGTGGGACGACTGTCAAGGCAGGTAGCGAAGTGTTGGTGCCTTCTTTTTGGTTTTGTGTGGGGTTTTGGGCAGACACTGCCAACACCGCATCATTGTGTGTGTGTGTGTGTGTGTGTGTGTGTGTGTGTGTGTGTGTGTGTGTGTGTGTGTGTGTGTGTGTGTGTGTGTGTGTGTGTGCGTGTGTGCGTGTGAGTGATGTGATGTCATGTGGGGTTGCCATCAAACAACCAGCGGTGTCGCAATGTTCAAGGAGTGGTTCATTTGATTCATTCATCATCACAGTCACGCCATCCCAGCAAACGACAAAAGACAAGCAACCACAACAAAAGCAGGCAAACAAGTACGCAAGTCAGCAAGTAAGGTGAACAATGAGATGCGAAGAGAAAGTGCACACGGTGCAAGCAGGCAAGCAAGCAAGAGCACGAGGAAACGGAAGGCCAGAAAGGGATACGGAAAGACATCAACAAACAAAGCACAATAAAGAAGCCACGCGGCACAGACACACAGACACACACAGAGAGACAAAGACAAGGACATAGGCACAGACTAACTCACACACACACATAGACAAAGACAAGGACATAGACACAGACTAACTCACACACACACACACACACTGACACACACACACACTGACACACTGACACACACACACACACATGTGCACAGAGGGGATCATGATGGCGGACGCGCGCTGTGGTGGCGGGATATGGTGCTGAGGGTCTGGGCACGAGCACGGCCAGGGGTGGGAAGCTGGCGGTGAGGTCGCGGTGTGGGCGCAGGGACGCGCGAAAACTGGGTCGCACTCGACTGCACACCCCCTGGGTGCTCCTGTCCCTGTCCCTGCTGCTGCCGCTCTTGCTCCTGCATGCGTTGCAGCTGCAACAGCAGAGCAGGGTCGGGTGCAGCAGCAAGCGTGTTGGCCTTTCTCCGCCCTTTGGCCGCCTGCAGCTGCAGCTGCTGTTGTTGTTCTTGTTGCTGCTGGTGCCACTGCTGCTGCAGAAGCCTCTCCCGCGCCGCTTGAAGCACCATGGCGTGTGCGCCCATGGAGGTGGCGCGGCGGCGGCCCGTATCGGCCGGCACCGCCACTGGCGGCTCATCAAGCAAGGATGTGCCTTCCTGCATTGTGCCCGCACCTGCGTCATCCACATCTGCAGCACCACCCCGGGCAGCGTTACCCTGCTCCTCTTGCTGCTCCTCATCACTGCCATCATCCCCGTCACCATACTCATCCACATCGACGCTGTCCGAGCCGGACCACGCGTCATCGCGCCCTGTACCCTCAGCGCCAAACGCCACGGGCCTTGGCGTGTCGCGGCGTGGGACGTGCTCCCTGCTGCCGTTCCCGCTCTCCTCGCTCGCCTCGCTCATGTTGCGGCCCCCGGCACTTGCCGCGTCCATTACAGCAGCATGGCTTGCTGTGGAGTGCACACGCTCGCTGTGGTGCCGCTGGCGCTGCCCCTCGTGCTGCTGCCGATGCCCACCGATGCCACTGCCGTCCTGCGCACGTGGTGACGACGGCGACGAGCTGTGGCGGCCAGCGAGCGCCGAGGAGTGAGTCGCCATGCCACGAAGCAAGTTCAAGCTGAGAGACGCGGCCCGTGTCCGGCCGTGCGGTTGGTGCTGGTGCTGCTGGTGTTGCTGCAGCCCGCCACCAAAGAGCGACTGCTGGCCGTTCCCAGGCGTCTCCTGAAGCAGTTTGAGCAGGTGCTGTGCAGCTGGTGGAATGGCCATGGAGGACGATGCGCCCGTGCGCACAACACACGTCTGCCCGCGCCGCCGTAACCGCTGCGCTGCCCGCTGTGCTGGGTGCTGTCCCTGACCCTCCTGTTGCGAGCCGATCGGCGGTGGCGACGAGGGCATGCGCGGCACGGCACTCGGAGGAGACGCCTGGGGGCTGCCGCGTGCCATGGCTGATGACGGCATGGATGCACGGCGGCCGCGCAAGAGAGCGCTGTGACCGCCACTGGGGAGTTGTTGTTGCCGCTGCTGCTGCTGCTGCTGCTGCTGCTGCTGCTGCTGTGGCTGCTGTGGACCCGTGTCTGTGCCGCCCCTCGCAGCCGCACCACGGCTCGGGCTGGGAGGGACGGAGGAGTGGGCTGGGGACATGTCGCGTGGTGGAGCTGGGGCATCCTGCAGCATGCTGTACAGCACACTGCGCGCCTTCTGGCACACGCAGGCGAGGTTATTGAGGGCATGCGCCACCGCCACCTGCACGTCGTAGCACGTGACGGGGCTGCACACCAGCTGCACAAGGGTGGCCAGGAGCTCCTCGTTGGCGGCAAAGGGGCTCAGGTCCAGCGTGTTGCGGCGCAGCGCCGCCAGCGCAGAGCACAGCTGCAGCGTGGCCGTGTGTTCCGCGCGCACCAGCAGCAGCACGCATGCGCGCGCCATGTTCTTGCTGTGGGTGATGATGGCGTCGCCAGTGCCCGGGTCGATGCGGGCCAGCTGATTCAGCAGCCGCGCAGCGTCCCGAGACGCCTGTACGTCGCTGCCTTGGATCCGGCACTCAATGGCGCCAAACAAGCCCGCGTGCTTGAGCAGGCGCGGGTACAGGTGGATGTTTCCTGCAGCATACAGCAGCGCGCGCATGGCAAAGTTGCCCACCCGCTTGCTCGTGGCCACGTCGCGGCAAGCAGCCTGGCGCACCATCACATTCAGCAGGTCGTCGGTGAAGAAGGACGTGCAAAAGTCGTCCTCCTGCGCGCAGCGCACCATGATGGCCTCCATGAGACCCGCACGGTCGTCCACGGTGCCGTGGTGCAGGATGGCGGCGCACGCCGACGCAGATGGCAGCCGCTGGCTGTACTCGCGCGCCTCAAAGCACGGGTCCGGCAGGAGGGGCACACGTGCTGCGTGGGCGCTCGCTTTGCTGCGTGCTGCGCTGGCGTTGCTGCTGGTGCTGGCGTTGCTGGCATTGCTGCTTGTGCTGTCCAGGTGCTGATCACTTGCAGCTGCGTTCGCGCCACCATCCTCAGCGGTGTGTTGGGCGCTCCCCTGGGCCGTGGCCTCATGCGGTTGCTCAGAGCTCCCTGTCACACCGGAAGCTACTCCGTCGTCTCCCTCTCGATTGCCTCCTTCCTCGCCCCCATCCTCGTCCTCGTCCTCGTCCTCCTCATCGTCCTCGTCATCCAAGTTGACGACCTGCAGGCCTGCGTTGCTGCTGGCGCGGCTTCGCAGCAGCGGTGTCCCTGGGCCGCTGCCGTCGTCGTTGCCGTGCTCGCCCGGGCCCTCCAGCAGGCCTGCCTGCCCCATCTCGTCGGCAGTGAGCCCAGGCTTGCGCAGCAGCTTGCTCACGTCAGGGTATCGCTGCGAGTGCATGTCGCGTGCAGCAAACGTGGCTGCACGCGCCCGCCTTGCGCGCCGGGCGTGTGTGGGCAAGTGCGAGCCTGTGCGATGAATGCTGTTGCTGTTGCTGTTGTTGCTGTTGCTGCTGCTGCTGTTGTTGCTGCTACTGCTGCTGCTGTTGTTGTTGTCATCACTGTGTTCGCGGCCACCAACGCCATCGCTCCAGTGCACGCTGGGGTGGGCTGCGGGTTGATGACGGTCGCTTCGACCACCTTTGCTGGCGATGCCAGACGCATTCTGCGCCGGATTTGTGTTTGACCCCACATCGCGCAAGTCGTCGCTGTCATCACCTTCCAACGACTCGTTGGTTACATCGTGATAGTGATGGTGATGGTGGCGATGATGATGGTGGAGATGGTGTTTGTGGTGGTCATGCTGCTGCTGCTGCTGCTGCTGCTGCTGCTGGTGGTGGTGGTGGTGGTAGTGGGGCTGCTTGTCGTCATAGTCAGACTCTGCGATGCCATCTGCGAAGACCGGGCCTCCGCTGGTGTCTGGCGTGCTGCGCTGTATTGTGGTGTAGGCGCGCTGGCGACGGTGGCGATGTGCGCTATCTGGCAGGTGGTGCTGGGCGAGCGGCAGCTGCAAGGCGCTGAGCTGGGCAGCGTCGTGCAGCAGCTGGGCCTTTGCTGTGGCGAGGTCGCTGGGAACTGCGCCGTGCTTGGAGTACGGGTCATGCATTCGCTGTGGTACGGGCGATGGATGGCCGTGATTGGGATGTTGCTGTTGCTGTTGCTGTCGCGGCAGCTGGTTGTATGCTTGCTGTTGTTGCTGCTGCTGCCGCTGCTGTTGTCGGTGAACGTCCTCATAGTGGCGGCCAGAGGAGCTGGTGTTGGCCCAGGGCTCCATGGCGGCATCGGCCTCCTCGTCCTCCGCCCCTTGGCGCTGCAGCATGCTTGGCTTGTGCTTGCCCAGGGCGCGCTTGAGGAAGGCCATCCCGCTGGCAGCCTTCTTTGGGGCGCGCAGGCACGACCGAGAAGCAAGATGAGCAAATTTGCTTGATGGCTGGGTCGCGGTGTTGTTGCTGGACCGGGTTTACCCAATCGTCTCGTCAAAGGGTAGGTGGGTGGAGATGCAGTCGTGTGGGGGTGCTGCAGCTGCGCCAACGGGGGTGCGGGGATGGTTCAGGGGCACAGGGTGAGCCGTGAGGGCTACGTTGATGATGACAGCTGCTGTGATTTGAAGCACTGGCGAGGGAAAGAGGGCGGCTGGGTTGGCTCGATAGCTTGAGTGCTGAGACTGAGCGAGCGAGCAAGCGGGTTCTTGGCAATGGACGCGGGTGAGGCTTGATCGCGGGTGATCCGGCGAGCGCGCCTTGGGAACGGGAGGTGAGGGATGGGGGCGGGGGTTGGATGCGATACGATGCGATGCAAGCTCCCTTTTGGAGAAGAAAAATAGAAAGCCGTGCAGGCTCGAGCGCCAAGGGGAAACGGCGACGCGGGTGTGTCGGTTGGTTGTGGCAGCTGTGGCGGTTGGTGGTGCTGGTGGCAACACGGGTGGCACGGGTGGGTAGTGTGGTGATTGCTTGCTCCTTCGCTGGCGTGCTGGGTGATCAATCAGGATCCAGGGCGCGATCGTCGGAGCAGCAGGAGCAATGTGGAGCGATTGCGTCCGTTTGCTGTGTGGCGTGGTGTGTTTGACGGTGAGGTGCAATTGCTGCACACGCAGAATCAAAATATAAACACACGCTGACGCACGCGCACAGCGCAGAGAAGCCCGTGGGGCCGCAAGGGGGAACAGCATCAAAGACGCACGCACACACAAACACACACACGCGCGCATACACGCACAAGCAAGGTTCGAAACACGAAACAAGAAAAGCAAGGGTGATTGTTGTGGTTCAACGGTGATGTGTGCATGCATACCAGCTTGGCGAAGCGGCGAGCAGGAAGAAGGTGCGTGGATGTGAATGAGGTGTGTGGAGGTGCGTGGAGGTGAATGGACCACCACAAGTTCAAACCAAAACAAACACTCAAACTAGCACGAGCGACAGAGCAATCAATGCATGGATGGTTGGCGATGATTGATGTGTGTTGTGAGACATTGTGGCTGGCAAGGCAGGCATGGTGGGCTGTAGGGCTGTGTTTTGTTTCGGTTGCTCGTGTGTTGAGTTTGTTTGTGTGATGACAGGAGCAACCTACTAGCCTCGAAAATTGGTAGAAAATTTCCGTGAAAATACGATGGGCCTTGAAACATGCCATCATGAACGTGAGCAAGGTGGTGTGTGTGTGTGTGTGTGTGTGTGTGTGTGTGTGTTGTTGTTGTTGTTGTTGTTGTTGTTGTTGTTGTTGTTGTTGTTGTTGTTGTTTAAGTTGTTGTTGTTGTTGCTGTTGTAGTTGTAGTTGGTGTAGCTGTATCTGGAAGTGACTCGAATAGCAAGACTGAGCCCCCTTCCCTCGTGACCGCCTATCC